CCTTTATGAAGAGGAGAAGGAACAAGGAGAAGGCCGGCAGGGACAAGCCCTGAACTGGTTGCAAGTAAGAAGGACAGGCGAGTAGGGGCTGGCTGAGAGGGCAGACAGAGGTTGATGAGGCAGTGCCCCATTTGCCCTAATAAACACACCTCCACTGGCAGACTCTCCAACATTTATCCAATGAAAACAGGGACATCTTCATCCATAAACAACAACAACAACAGTTTTACTATTATCATGCAGCTTCCAGCAGATTTTTAAAAATAAGAAAACATTAAGCATTAAAAAAAAATACCTCCTTATACAGTGGTACCTCAGGTTACACATGCTTCAGGTTACATACGCTTCAGGTTACAGACTCCGCTAACCCAGAAATATTACCTCAGGTTAAGAACTTTGCTTCAGGATGAGAACAGAAAACGTGCTCCAGCGGCACGGCAGCAGCGGGAGGCCCCATTAGCTAAAGTGGTGCTTCAGGTTAAGAACAGTTTCAGGTTAAGTACGGACCTCCAGAACGAATTAAGTACTTAACCTGAGGTACCACTGTACAGGGCTATTTTCAGGTGGCTTGGGGGTCGGATAACTCCATACCCTCCAACATTTATCTGATGAAAATAGGGACATCCTAAGAAGAAGAAGAAGAAGAAGAAGTTTGGATTTGATATCCCACCTTTCACTCCCTTTAAGGAGTCTCAAAGCGGCTAACAATCTCCTTTCCCTTCCTCCCCCACAACAAACACTCTGTGAGGTGAGTGGGGCTGAGAGACTTCAAAGAAGTATGACTGGCCCAAGGTCACCCAGCAGCTGCATGTGGAGGAGTGGAGACGCGAACCTGGTTTCCCAGATTACGAGACTACCGCTCTTAACCACTACACCACACTGGCTCTCAACAGCGGGACATTCCAGGATCAAATCAGAAACCGGAATGACTTCTGTAAATAGGGACACTTAGAGGGTCTGCACTGGTTCCCCCGAACCCCAAGTTACTGCTCTGACCCTTAACAACAATTAGAAACTGACCTGCCATCAGTTTGAAATGTAGGGCAAGAAGCCAAGTTACAGGGAACCAGGCAGAGGGCCTTCTCGGTGGTGTCACCCGCCCTGTGGAACGCCCTCCCACCAGATGTCAAAGAGAACAACAACTACCAGACTTTTAGACGACATCTGAAGGCAGCCCTGTTTAGGGAAGCTTTTAATGTTTAACAGACCACTTTATTTTAATACTTTGTTGGAAGCCGCCCAGGGTGGCTGGGGAGACCCAGCCAGATGGGCGGGGTATAAATAATAAATAATAATAATAATAATATTAAAGGGTGTAGGCATCTTCACAAATGCATAGCTCCAGGCACCTTGGTGCAGAATTTGGAGTGATGTGGGAGGAGGCAGAGGAAGCAGATAGGTGCTTGAAAACGGTGGCCAAACCTCCTCCATTTCCTTAGAGATCTTTTGGCACCAATCCTGTGAACAGCGGGAGATGATGACCTCTAGGTGACCTCTCTCCCCCGCCTTGCATCTGCTTTCTGCAAGGCATTTAATCTAGCTATGCCCTGTCCCAGGAAAAGAATAACCCACTGTGCTATTTATACCCCAAAGCGTACATCTTGAACAGAAATAGCCCCCCGGGCGTCAGAACGCGCCCTCCAGCTTCAGGGCCCATTAGAAAATCTGCTGTCACCAGAAGCAGGAAACCTACACCATCCACAATGCTACCTAAATATGTCACAGGCAGGGATGAAGCAAAGAAAACAAGCACCACTCCACTCAGCAGTCATCGAGGTTCCCAGAACCACAAGGCCCCACAAGCTCAGGGTCAGGACACCTGCTTGGAATGCAGAAGGCCCCCAGTTCATATTCAATACATTTAGTTTGGCTTGCCACGTCAGTTTGCAAATTTGCTCGAAAATTCATCAAATTTTTAATGCTGCAATAGACACTTTTCTCTAAGCAATTTTGCCTAATAGGAACTCTTGCAAAGCAATTTCCCTTACTATAATGGTGTAGTGGTTAGAGTCATGTACTAGGACTAGGGAGACAGCAGGGTTCAAATCCCCTCTTGGCCAGTCCACTGGGTTGCCTTGGGCCAGTCATAGCCTCTCCGCCTACCTCACAGGGTTGTGAGGAGGGTAAAACAGGATGAGAACCTATGCATGCCACCTGGAGGTCCCTGGACAAAAGGTGGGATATACCGGTTAATGTAACAATATATTATAATGCACTTTTGCAGGTCATTTTCACAATTATATGCACTTTTATGTACACTTTACCCCAGTGTATGCATTTGTTTTGTACCCATTACTTGGCTGGGTAAGTGCCCTACAAAATCCAGAAAAAGACGGGCGTGTTTCGGCTAAGATTAGGCGGGCTTGTACCTTTTCATGTGAGCTGAACCTGATTTCTCTCCCATTGCTACATCCTGTTAAAAGGATATTAGGCAGAGCAAAGGATGGGGAAAAGAGCCTCTTCTCTCTGCCGTATAATAGCCCGGAGAGCAGTGGCCAGACAGAGTAAGCCAGAACTGGGTCTGATTTGGTATCAAGCAGTTTCATACACAGAAGAAAACAATTAACACCCCCATCCTTAATGACCCAGCTAGCAGCTTGGCTGTGACAAGACGAACAGATGCCAAGCCTTGCTCTCGGTTCCATGCGGCCATTACGGACTATTAGCCGAGCTTCTGTTCCAAGATGCAAACGAAATGGTGATTCATAGACAGGGTGGGTGTTTTATCTGCAAATCTGCTCCCTGATCACAACAATCCCACGGAAGGACCGTTGCAAATCGCCCAGGGGGAGGACAGCAACAAAAGGCTATGTTTTGCCTTATATGGTGTCTTGCCATATGTCCATTCAGTTCAGTATTTTCTACGTTGGCAGCAGCTTTTCAGGGTCTCGGCCAAGCAGTGACTCTTCCAGCCCTGCCTGGAGAGGGTGGGGATTGAGCCTGAGGCCTCCCCCTAAAAATGAATCAAGATTCCACTCCTCATGGTTCTGAATTAAGGGCAATTTAATTGGAAACTGCGGGAGCTGCCTTCAAATACTGAGGAAGATCGTTATTCTACCTAGGCTAGTATTGCCCGCACTGACTTACAGCAGCTCTTCAGTAAGGGCCTTACTCTATCTGCTTGAAAAGTAGATGCTGTAGCATGGAGGACACATTTAAAAGCTGATGTAGCCATTCATTTTGGAGTAAGACTGAGAAAGACCCGGGTTCAAATCTCCATTCAGCCACGCAGCAGCTCACGTTACAATGGAGCGTTTGAGCGCTCTCTTTGCCACCCGCCCAAACCCATCTTCACATTTCGGCAACACAACACCAAGAGGCTAGAGGAGGTGAAACCCAGTACCAGGGTATCATCTGTCACCATGGAAACAGTGGGCTCCTCCATGCCGCTGTCATGGAAACACAAAGCTACAGAGCAGGATGAGTGAGAAGGAAGATTCTCTGCAGGAATAAAAGAGGTGGGGGGAAGGTCAAGCTGTCTGGATTTGGGGTATAACTTCTGGCCACTTCAAAATAAGCCAGGCCCAAAGGGACTTTGCTGTGTGAGGGCGATGACGAGACGTAGACACCAACAGCTGTTCAGTCTTGTTTTAATGGCCTGCTCCTCCACCTGCCTCACTTTGTGCAAAGGTAGAACCATAGAACCATAGAATCACAGCGATGCAGGAATATCAACTAAAGCATCATGACAAACAGCCAACCAACCTCTGCTTGAAAACCTGCAATGAAGGCAGGTCCGCAACTTCCTGAGGGAGACCGTTCCACTGTCAAACAGCTCTTACCGTCTTCCTGAAGTTGTCTCGGAATCCCCTTTTTTGGTAACTTGAAGCCATTGGTTCGGGTCCTAACCCCCCCTCCCCAGAGCAGGCGAAAACAAGCTTGCTCCATCTTCCACGAGACAGGCCTTCAGATATTTGAAGATGACTATCATATCTCCTATCAGTCTCCTCTTTTCCAGGCTAAACATACCTAGCTCCTTTTTTTTTAAATAACTTTTTTATTCAAAATTAAAACAAAACTTATTATGCAGAAACATATCATCCTTATCCCCCATTTTTCCTCCCTCCCCCCACAGAACCCACCCACCCCCGACTTCCCTCAGTTCGTCTTTGATTTCTCTAAAATTGCTGTTTTCTGCATGTTACACAGTTGTATAGATCCTCAAACTATTTAGCTGATTATTATCAATAAAAAGTTTGTGAATGTTTATTCAAAGCCAGCCAAGTCCCAGCTCCTTCAACCACTCCTCATAAGGCTTTGTTTCCCACCCCTTGATCATCTTGGTCTCCCTCCTCTGCACACCTTCCAGCTTGTCAACATCCTTCTTAAACTGGGGAGCCCAGAACTGGACACAGTCTTCCAAGTGTGGTCTGACCAAAGCAGATTCAGAGCGGTACCATTCCTTCCCTTGATCTGGACACTAGACCTCTGTTGATGCAGCCTAGAATAGCATTACCTTTTTTTGCTGCTGCATCATGCACTGGACTCATGTTAAGCCTGTGGTCCACGAAGGGCTGGCACCTCTTCAAGCCTTAAAACCTGGAACCTGGGCATAGCTGTCAACTTTTACCTTTTCTTGCGAGGAATCCTATTCGGAATAAGGGAATTTCCCTTAAAAAGGGGGAAACGTTGACAGCTATGAACTTGGGAGGTTGGCCAGGTGAGCTCAAAAAGGTCCTGGACCTGTGCGTATGCCTGTCACAAAGGAGACAGAGATCACCACCTCCTAATTCAGGGGCAGGGATTTTTCACCAAGGGCCATGTTCACTTCTAGGTAACTTTCTGGGAGCCACATGCCGGGAGTAGGCGGGGCCAGAAGTAAAAATGGGTGGAGCAATCAGCATTACAAATCTCAGGTATGCTTTCTTAGAATCTCTTTTGATTCCCCCCCCCCCCTTGAGACATTTGATTTAATGCATACGTTCAGAAACTGTAGGGTGTTGGTTTTTTTTAAGCAACAAATAAGAGGGAGGCTGAAAATCACCACTACAACAGAGCTGTGGCTTTTTAATATTGGAAAACTTTTATTTTATTTTTTTTCTCTTCCAAATGAGCACCAACACATATCGTAAATAGGTCAACAAATGCTTCCTTCCTTCTAATACTGAAGTACTATGTACAATTATACAAAGGACATGACGAGGTGAAGACCCCCCCAAAAAAAACCAAAAAAGAAAACCCCAAAACAATTAAAAACATTTATTACTGAAGCAAAAAAACGACCTGAAGAATATGCCAAACAATAAAAATAAAATACAAATAAAACAAAAACCCAAGAAATATGTACACAGTTTGTAAACACAAGGGCGTCAACACGACAGGCTGGTATTGGAAATATATTTGCTTCATTTGAAGAAAGCATTAAGGTGCCCATTGTATCTTACCCATAATGCTATTCTGCTCACAGTTAAGTGTGCAGGGTTTTTTTAAAATTTAAAGTTAAAAACCATTTGTTTTCTCCTTCAACCGTTTTCCAGCATTCAACTTCCTTTTTCTTTTTTCTTTTAAAAAAAGATTCCTGAAAGTCAACACACAAACAAATATTCCAGAACATTCCACTCCCCGGTTTTCTCTCAGACAGGTAAAGCATTTCTTCAGCTACTCATTCATTTCTTTCATCATGAGCGACACAAAGCTGGGGTTTATGTGTGGTGGGAAGTGCGATTCTTCCTCATCCTTGAAATGATACCATGAAATGTATATTTAATACATAATTATCTCAGTCCGAAAACACAGACATACACACAGGAATAAAAAACAAACAAACCAATATGTGAACACGAGGAACAAGAGATTTCACCTGCTTGTTTTGTCATTTAAAATGTGTGTGCACCAGAAAGTTTTATGGGAAGGGGCAGGACGTGGGGAGAAATGAAGCACATGCAGCATTGATCAAGCATACTGCCAAAGAGTCATATTGCCAAAGCGCAATCCAATCATTTGTGCTGTTGGTCCACTTGGGAGATTTATAGAGCAATCAAAACTGGGGTAAAAGGAAAGACTTAACAGCGACGGAAAAAAATAAAGACCCATTAACGCCAGAGATGTAAACATGTCGCCAGAATCTAGAACAGTGATGGCCAAACTTGGCCCTCCAGCTGTTTTAGGACTACAATTCCCATCATCCCTGACCACTGGTCCTGTTAGCTAGGGATGATGGGAGTTGTAGTCCCAAACCAGCTGGAGAGCCTAAAGGGATAGAATCAGAGGTTGCCACCTTTTCTTTCTGACCCTGCTCCTGCGCCTTTAAATGACAGCTAAATAGAGCCACTGAGATGACACATGAGGGGAGGAAAAAGACCCCCCCCACTAGTTCCTCCCCATGCTGAGAAATTTTGCTCTGATTGCAAACTTGTGTGTGTGTGTGAGGGTGCTGTTAAAAAAAGGTGGCAACCCTAGACAATATCTGCTGCCGCACACCCCAAAAACCTAAAACAGGAGGCCTGCTTACAATACAGAGACCGATGACTAAAGAACAGGACAGGAAGCAGCTTGTGCTGTTTGGAGATATTATTATTTTAAAAAAGGACAATCTATGTTGCCAACTCACTTGCCTTGCTATGCTGCCTGCCACTTGAAGCCTCATTCTAGAAGACAGTTTCCATAGTATTCGCCTTACAGAATTAGATGGTTCACCTGGTAAAACAGAGATTTATGGAAATCCGGCAGCAGAGATTCATGAGCTACTTCTTGTTGTGAACAGAGCACGGCCATTGCTAGTGCTATAGTGACTCCGGAGGCAATGAACAAGCTCTGAAATTGATTCTTTGGTCTGGTTCAGAGGAAGTCTCTACATACAGACATATAGACAGAGGTGGCCCAATATATTTGGTGGTGCCTAAGGCAAGAAAATCTACATGGTACCTCCCTCCCGCCCCTCCACGGTAAACATATAACAAAATAAATAAATCATAGACAAGTTTCGATACGAAATCATTCCTGCATCGTGCAGCGGAACCTAGCTAATGCGTCCAGAGGGAAAGTCTGGGGCGGTGCGAGAAATTAAGACCTGGCGAGTCCAATGACTGGGGTGCCTGTTGCACCTCTCTTGCGGTAGGGGAGGCACATGCTGAACGCAGACTCATGCAGAGACACACAAGAGATGGGCTTCTCTGGGGCAGTGGAGAGGGTGGTTTCACTGGTTGTGGCTGCTCCCACTGATGACAGGGATAGAGGGGAGAGAGATGTTGATGGACAAAAACTCCCTTCACCCCCAACACCACTAGCCGTGTCCGGAGAGCCATTGATGTTCCCTAGGCTGTCAGTCAGGCCGAAGGGAATGACACAACTACCGTAATCCACTCCTTTTTGGATAGAGAACTGTCCATGTTAGCCTACAACGCCAGAAAGGAGGAAAGAAGACAGTGTCTTTCAAGAACTCTTCCCAGGTCCAGATGAGGGTCTCAGCTAGGCCAAGGCCACATCCGCACCCAGCATTTAAAAGCAGTGTTATAACATTTTAACATACCCCTCAAGTGACCCGGGGGGGGGGGAGGAAGGGCCTCCCTGTTTCTTATCGCAAGAGAACAGTGGCCATTTGGGTTGCTGTGATCTCGCGGCATGATTTCTCCCGTAAAATGTGTTTTTTGGGGGGTTGCGATTTCACGCGGTGCCCAAAACATGTGCTGTGTGATTTTTGTTCCCCCCCCCAAAAAAGCTGACAACTTTGCGGGTGTCAGGAATTTTACCTTTTGAAATATGGCAACCAATCCCTCTTCCCAGGGAACTCTGGGAACTGTAGTTCTGAGTGGGGAATAGAGGGTCTCCTAACTGCTCTCAGTACCCATGACAAACTAAGGCTCCCAGAATTCTTTGGGGGAAGCCATGACTGCCTCAAGTGGTACCATAGAGCTTTAAATGTATGGTGCAGATATGGCCTAAGGCCCGGGCCACAGGTTTGCAGCGGCTGAGGTGTTCCTAGGGTGTCCCTTGACAAGAAGATCAGGCAGCTCAGAAACTAGAAAGCAGTCATAGAGTGGCTCAGGAATCTACTTTAAGGAAGCAGACAATCCCAGTGAGTCTTGAGAGATTTCCCAAACTGAGGCTTCCCTCTAACACCCCACCGTTATCAACCCTGGACACAAAAGACTAGACAGCCTGGTGCTATTTAAATCCTTCCAAACCACAACCTAAACTTCCTTGCTTCTAAGTATAGCTCAACATCTGTTTTTGCCTACCTTGCGCTTTAGCCGTGACAAATGCCTGCCCCTTCAGATGTAGGTACAAGTCACATCCCAACTGAAATCAATGAAAGTCCAGCTTATGTTAATGGAGTTAGAATTATATCTTCAATCTCTTTCTTTTGACACCTCGTTTGGCCCTGCCTTGACAAATATATATGAGGGTCTGCTCCCATTTTATCCTAACAACAGCACTGAAAGATGGCCTTTCCTGAAGATATTCAGGGAGCTCTTTTGACACTCGAGTGTCTGATTTGAAAACATGTTCCCCAGATTCAAATCTGAACACGCCAATTGCTACATCGTACAAACATGTTTTCCACACTTCTCTCTGGGACAACGATGAGGGTGCTCCAAAGACAGAGACTTTGAAAGACGAAAAGGCACAAGATTTAAAACAACATCATGCAAAAGTTAGCAGCATAGCGTAAGCCATTGAACGGCACTCACTGAGATTATCAGGAGCAACCTATATACACTCAAATGGAAGTCCCAAGACAAGGAATTATTTCAACATCTGTCTCTGTCTACATTCAAGAGTGTGAATTACCGCGCGTCCCTGAATTTATTTATATACTTAAAAATGAATCCTTGCCTCCAGACGTTCCAATGGGCTTCTCATTAACCACGAAACTGGCTGTATTTTAGTTTCTTCCCTGCCCTGCATTTCTTAAGGTCTTGTTTGATTTGAATGCAACTCCCTGCTAACAAACATCTGCCTAACATCTGCATTATTTCCCTTTAAATAATAGTTTGCAAGACAGAGAGAGAATAAAAGTTTAGAAAAATTCAAAACTAACACGCAAAAGTGGTTTGGTGGGGGGGCCGGAGGGGTGTAAAAGCACCACATATATATATTATTTTTTAAATTCAACATTATTAACATAAAAAGTACATATGCTACTGCCTTGTATGGTATGTAGATATTATTATCAGGGTGTCATTTTTATATGATCCAGGAACCCTAAGGAAGAACAAAGTGGAATGGGCAAGGGGAGGAATAACCCTATCAAATTCTGCAAGTCAGAGGGATATAATGCAAGATCTATTCTTTCCATCAGCCAAGGGGAACTCACTATGAGACAGGGACGGTGTTTCCACCTACAACCTGTAGGATTCAGGGGGGAAATGGCCCTGGTCCTCATGATCAGGAGATAACTTCGACTCTCATTGCTTAATGCTCGTTTTTAATCCCCGTCCCCCAGGAGACAACGGCTGACCTCTGCAGTCTGCTACCCATCAGGAAAGGATGGTACCTATCAACTAACTTGGGGACAAAAAAAAAATAGCCAAGTTCTTTGGTCACGCTGTAAAGAGAGAGAAATCAGATTTCCAAAAGCCATTGATTCAGAACACAGTGTTTTTGAGCATAAACTCAAAATCACCGGGGGGAGGGCATCTGGATGCTGATGGGCTTCCAACTCCCAGCAGCCCCAGCGGCCAGCATGGCCAATGGTGAGGGACGATGGGAGTCCAACAACGTCCAAGAAGGCCTCAGTTTCCCCACAAGTAGTTTTGGGCATCTACTTTTGCTTCCCTCTTCCATTACCAAACACAAAACGCTGTCACGCGAGTCTGTACTCTACGAGCAGGTGATGGGTGATTTAGCAGCAAAATCTAGCAAACGTTAAGAAGCACTTGAGGTTAATGTTTTAGCAGAGCAGGAAGACTGAAACTAGATCTCAGAAGGGACAGCCCAAAGGGTGCTTCCAATATCAAATGGTTTAGAGAGAGGCATGGGCTGCAGCCACACTTAATAAGAATGGGGTGTCCTGTCAGGTAAACAACAGACGCTTGTAGTGGAACAGGCTTGGATTTTGAGAGACTGGACTTCCCAAGTCCAAACTGGGTATTGCACTGTTATTAGGACTAGAATGTAAACAGGTGGTGTGGAGATGTATCAAGACTCCTGCTTATCCTTTCATCTGCAAAGTCAGCAATTCGTGGATCTTGCCCTACAGACAGATCTGCACCCTGAAATGCAGTGTTTTGCTCAAAGATTATGGGGGTGATTCTCTTGCACCATCAGAGCCAATTAATCGGCAAACATTAGTGACTGAACCTAATTCCCTCCTCCTCACCCCAAATCTTCTCTTTGCTTACCACTCTCAAGCGGGCATCCCCCCCCCACTGCTGATAACCTGAGTTTCTGCCGCAGAAAAAGGAATCCCAACAGAAGGCCATGAAAACCGGATGGTTCTCAACGCTTGCCCTGACCAAAACAAACAAAAACAAAAATCCACACCATGGGCTATACTAGATCTCTTTCTTGCTAGCAGATTGCGACAGATTTGCAGAGCAGATTAACCTACATGAGAAGATTTCCACCAATAAAGCAAGGGGGGGGGGTGAATGAGAAAAAGAGAGAGGCAGCCAGGGGCCGGGGGGGGCGGAGGATGGAAAGGAATTCATTTAGATGTGTACAAATTCAGCCTGACTTCACTTGTCGGACACCGGAGTCGCTTTGATGCAGAATGCAAATTCACAGTGTCATTGACAATGCACTGAAATGCAAAAAACGGGGGGCTCTCAAAGCATTCCCCTTGCGGCCCCTGTGTCCCCTCCACAAAAAAGACCCCTTAACGTGACCAGAGGGAGGCCTTGAAGCAAAACAGGAGTGATTCAAAAGAAGGTTACCCCTCAGCCATGCACCACCCTGGCCCGACATAGAACATTGGCAAGTAATATTCCACACACACCCTGCAAATCTTAACAGACAGTTAACATGTTTAGCCAGATCCAATGGAGACAGCCATTTCTTCTAGTATAGTGGGTAGGGAGAGGCAGACAAGGATTCTCACAGGCCTTGCATTGGGAAACTGAGGCCCGGCTGCTTTCTGATGGCCACTGAACCTTGGTGCAACATCAGGAGTAAGACAGCATGACTCCTTCCCAAGTGGGAAGGGCAATTTTGGCAGTAGCCCCAGATTTGGGCAGGCTAAAATGGCCCGCCATCGTTTGTGAACTCTCCCCTCTTCTATACAGAGCCATTCCTCTATCTCTCGCACCGAGAACACTACTTAACAGAGTAGGGGAAAACTGTGGCCCTCCATATGCTACTAGACTACAACTCCCATCATCCTTGACCCTTGGGCCATGCTGGCTGCTGGGAACTGGAGTCCAACGACACCTGGGGAGGCTGCAGGGTTCTCCACCTGGAGGTTTTTAAGAGTGCCTCTGCTTCTTTCGGAGCTGCTTCTGTTCAAAACACTCACAGAACCCCCCCCCCCAACTGCTGAACCAGAACTTAACACACACTTAGGCTCTGAAACATTTGTTACTGCCCGAGTCCATCACCCCTGTTGTGTTTTTGTTCGTTTTAAGAGTCACACTTAACAGCACAAGTGCAGGTCGTCCAACTTATCACCTGCAGAAGCGATCCAGGCTTGTTTCCATCATCCTAGTGAGACCAGTCAGCCCCCCTCCCCGCAAAAAAAAAATCAAGCAGTCAGGAGGCTGCAAAACTGCCAGCAATTTTGTTAAGGATTAAGGATATAGATCACCACCTCCTTGTTCTCCTTGCTCCCCCGCCCGCCTCAAATGTATTCGCGCCATTCAATTTTGAAGCGGGGCACACTTCCTGCACTTGAAGGGTCAACGTCGTAGGAAGAAAATGGCGAAGGGTTTCCGATCTCCCAACATCAGCACCTCAGTGTTTGGGTGGGCTTGCTCACTGGGGAACAGGAGGCCAGGGAGGGCTAGGCCCGGGACCTGTTTTTACACTCCCCTCCTCTCAAATCACACATTAGTACGAAAAGGACAAAAAATCCAAAGGGATCACTTAAAAAGAAACAAGCAATCAAACGAGGAACACAGACCAGTCTGGGGATGCCACTAGCGACAAGTTTTTAGGCTACAGTCTTTGAGATGCAGACAGGATACAGCCATGAGGTATATATATTTTTTTCTGCGGTCCACAAGTTTCAAGCCATAGTTGACCAGGAATTTTTTTAAAAGGCCAAGCGGGGAAAGGGGTAGGGGCGATGCAACTCTCCTGCGCGCCCGACGTCTGAAGACCCAGCACTCCTTCCCTCGTGTCGGGACCCTTGGATTAAAAAACACACACACCACCCCAAAACCAACCTTCAGTTTGTACTGAGACAATGTCACTTAGGAAACGGTTTTGAGGGGCACCGAGTTCGAGTCCTCCTTACATCTATACGCACCCCCAATGCCAGAACACAGAGGAGTAAGGGAGCTGGGCAGGGGAGTGGGGGAGGAGGAAGGGGACCAGAAGTCAACTCACAAACAAGAGACAAAAGCAAAGAGAGACAGAAGTTATCGAGGCCGGTCACCGCTAAGGATGGCAGGAAGGGTTCTGTGAGGAAGCATCTCAACACGACGATGACGACGACAAGCCCCCAAACGCATGGAACCAAACGGTTGTCAGTCACTCGCTCATATATATATGTGTGGGGTTTTCCGAGAGATAAAATGTTCGGTAGGATGACAAACTCCCTCTCTCTCTCGCCCGTGTTCGGCGTGCGTCTCCTCGCCATTCAATCCCAGCCATTGTCCTTGATCATGTGAGCTAATTCAATGATGTATTTGCCTTCCTTATACTTTTGACTGCTTTCAAAAGCGTGTTCCTGGAAAGGGAAAGAGACAGAATCAAAACAAGGAAAAGGAACGAAGTTCCTCCTGGGTCTCAGTCCAGGGACTGCGGTGTCCGGAAACCGAATCGAATACCTTCCGCATGCAAAGAAGATACTGTACTACACACTGAGAGCCAGTGTGGTATAGTGGTTAAGAGCGGTGGACTCGTAATCTGGTGAACTGGGTTCGATTCCCCGCTCCTCCACATGCAGCTGCTGGGTGACCTTGGGCTAGTCACACTTCTCTGAAGTCTCCCAGCCCCACTCACATCACAGAGTGTTTGTTGTGGGGGAGGAAGGGAAAAGGAGATTGCTAGCCGCTTTGAGACTCCTTAAAGAGTAGTGAAAGGCGGGATATCAAGTCCAAACTCAAACTCTACTGAGCTACAGCTCTTCAGTAAGGAATCTGGACAGCACCAGGTTAGGGAAGGAGGTCAGGTGGGCCCAGGAGATTTCCCACCCCTCTTGCATTACTATGGTAACTGTGATCATCATCTGACAGTACAGCTCCAGTGCGAAATGGAAAACCCAGTGTGCAAAAGTTGTGGGTCTTTTCTAAACATTGTGTATTAGCAGAGGTTTGGAAGGAAATTTACAGAGGCTCACTTTTTCTTTTTTGTTCCTGAACTGCCCAACCATGTTTTGGAAACATAATCCGATTGTTCAAAGGACTGAGGGTTTTAGCGCCTGGCTGGCGTGAACTCCCAAGGTCCCTTTTGCAACAGGATCAAGTTCACGGATTTATCCCAGAGGCTGAAATGTTGCTAACTTCCCCAGCTGCTCAGCAGCCAACCCCAACTCCAGCCTCGCTGAGGAAGAGTGCACCTCTCTCGGGTCTTTCGCACAGCTCAAAGCCAGAGCAGGCTTCACCACACTGCCAGAAGGATCAGCTAGCTGGTATTCAGAAAAAGACCTTGTCTCAGGAATAAAGCATGTGTTTTATGCAGAATCAGAACGTTGGTGCATCTAGTTCAGTACTGTCTACACTGACCGGCAGCAGCTCTCCCCTAGGTTTCGGGCAAGAAGGGGACATTCCCAGCCCTATCTGGAGATGCCAGGGAATTGAACTTTCCTGTATACAGAGCAAGGGCTTTGCCACTGAGCTACAGCTCGCCCTCTAAAAATAAAAGGAGATTCCAGTTATCATCATCATCATCATCATCATAATAATAATAATAATAAATAATTTATTTATACCCTGCCCATCTGGCTGGGTTTCCCCAGCCACTCTGGGCGGCTTCCAACAAAACACTAAAATACAATAACCTATTAAACATTAAAAGGGACGTGGGTGGCGCTGTGGGTTAAACCACATAGCCTAGGACTTGCTGATCAGAAGCTCGGCGGTTCGAATCCCCGCGAGAGGGTGAGCTCCCGTTGCTTGGTCCCTGCTCCTGCCAACCTAGCAGTTCGAAAGCACGTCAAAGTGCAAGTAGATAAATAGGTACCGCTCCGGCGGGAAGGTAAACGGCGTTTCCGTGCGCTGCTCTGGTTCGCCAGAAGCGGCTTAGTCATGCTGGCCACATGACCCGGAAGCTGTACGCCAGCTCCCTTGGCCAGTAAAGCGAGATGAGCGCTGCAACCCCCGAGTCGGCCACGACTAGACCTAATGGTCAGGGGTCCCTTTACCTTTACCTTTATTAAACATTAAAAGCTTGCCTAAACAGGGCTGCCTTTAGATGGCTTCTAAAAGTCTGGTAGTTATTTTTCTCTTTGACATCTGGTGGGAGGGCGTTCCACAGGGCGGTGCCACTACTGAGAAGGCCCTCTGCCTGGTTCCCTGTAACTTGGCTTCTCGCAGCGAGGGAACCACCAGAAGGCCCTCGGCGCTGGACCTCAAGTGTCTGGGCAGAACGATGGAGGTGGAGACGCTCCTTCAGGTCTACTGGGCCGTTTAGGGCTTTCAAGATCAGCACCATCACTTTGAATTGTGCTCGGAAACGTACTGGGAGCCAGTGTAGGTCTTTCAAGACCGGTGTTATGTGGTCTCGGCGGCCGCTCCCAGTCGCCAGTCTAGCTGCCACATTCAGGATTAGTTGTAGTTTCCGGGTCACCTTCAAAGGTAGCCCCACATAGAGCGCATTGCAGTAGAGCGCATTGAACGAAGGGCCAAAGGGGACAAGATTTTAAGAAACAACAACACTCACGTATTTCCAGCCCAGCGTGGTTTTGCAGTTTTCACAGTAAATGTCAGCAACCGCATGCAGTCCTGTTAGCAAAACCCGTTCTTCTGCAGGGCCACAGCCCACATTAACTCTGCAAATGTGGGAAGAAGGAAGAGAGAAGTTTTGATTTGCAGATCCAGTTCCATTTTGCTGCAGCAGCTGTGCTCCTCACTAAGCACACCTCTGTTCTTATTTGCATAAATCAGGATCATGCCACTTCAAGCAGTCATTGGCTTGTTAACCAGAAAGGGCAGGGATGGGGAAACCCATGACTCTCTAGACACTGCTGGACTCGGACTCCCATCATCCTCAACCAGCATGGGCCAACGCAAAGGGATGATGGGAGTTGTATTCCAGCAACATCTGGAGGGCGGAAGGTTCCGCCTCTCCCTTTCTGACGACAACAGTGACAACGGAGAGGGGAGTGGGGGGTGGATCCCAGACACTTACACTGAATTGAAGAGATAGGCCCGGCCCTGGCTTCCTTGAAAAGACTGTAAGGCAAAATAAAAATAGTGTTTGTCATGATGAAAGTCACACCCTGTCAACAACCAAAAAATAAAAATAAAAATCAGTCCCTGATGAATTATTAGCAGTGATCTCAGTTGCAGCAGCACAATTTTGCACCTGGGTGGGTGGGGGAGACAGCATCCCTTTAACCCAGAAGAGGCTGGTGGAGATTAATTCGCTCCATCCTTGTGGATCCTCTCTGCAAAGCAAAAAATAACAACACCCCAACTCTACAGCCTGCTGTGGGTTGTTGGTGCAAATCCCTGACCACACCACCCTCTGGAGCAGTTATGGGGAGAAAGAAAAGACCCAGAAGTGTCTGTTCAAGGAAAGGTGGATTCTTGCAGTCTGCAGGTCAGAAAAGTTAACAGTGTAGGAGGAGATGTTTAAGAGGATGAGAGAATAGTGTACGTTGTAGGTTGGGGAGAGGGAGAGAGAGAGAAGCTCAGGTTCTTGTTTTAAGAGAGTGAAATGGTCTTTCAGATTACATCTAGATGTAATCTGGATTGCATCTAGATTACAAAAATGCATCTAGATCACAAAAATAAAAATAAAAAGGGCTTGCAATATTTTCAGACTTTGGAACATAGTTAATTGGCATAACAAACCCCAGACCTTCTGATCCCAGGGTCCTCTGTTGACATACCAAATGCCGGATCTCCAGATTGCAGGACCGCCCCCTCCCCACTCCAGCCAGAGGTTTATGGCACCTCTGACTCGGTGTCCTCAAGTGACATTAGCAACCAGCTCTCCTCTGGCTTCATCCCACCCTTGAAACACACAAATGTACCAGACACCTTTTGATTGGTCCCCTGAAGACTGGCTCAGTCACATGAAATGGCCCGCCCACAAGAAGAATAAACAGACTCTACCTCCATTTAAAGGGCTACCCCCCACCCCATCTCCCCATCTGAGTTCTGCAGAGTGGAACACAGACTGTTTCCCCTCCCCTCCAACCTCTTGGGATGTTTGCAAAAAACACACACACACAACAACAAAAAACACAACACCATTTGGTTTGAATTAAATATGTGGCAAGGAAACTTTTCCATCTCATGCAAAGGTTTCAAAGAGCCACACACCCTTTGTGAATAACAGAGAACACAGTAAGCCGGACTATGGAAAACAAAACAAAAACTCTGTGTGTGTGTGTGTGTGTGTGTGTGTGTGTGTTCCCCATCCCAGCTCAAAGAAATAGGTAGGGTTGGTTTTTGAGTTTCTCATCAAAACCAGCCAAGAATAGTTCCTGCACTGCTAACTGTAAGGCAGACACTCTCATCTTCCAACAGAACAATTGTTTTCTTCAAAGTCTAGGGAAAGACACATCAGCATATTACTTCTGCCTTGCAGCAACCAAAGTTTCTGGCCCACAGACATTCCTGCTACCCTGCCTGCCCAGACAGAATTTCTAATAAACTAGGGATGGGTGAGCTGTTTCATGGCCAAGGCGAAAAAAAAGAAACAACTACTCTCTGATTTGAAGAAGAAACCTTGACTGCCTGATCGCCTAGAGGTAAACTCTGACTCGCCACAGGAGACTAAGCATAAATCACCTCCCCCAGAACTGCAAGGCTGAGCTACCTAGCATAAAACTGGAACTGTTTAGCCACCCAGATGCACAAGATAGGTATGAATTAATTTGAAAGCTACTGACCCCAGTCTTTCAACCAAATCCACCTGATTTCATGGCTGCTTCACACAAGGTCCTTGCTCGGGTCTCTGCACTAGAGACATTAGGAATCGTAAACAAGGGACTGCAGGAATAATTCATTCTTTCTCTCACACACATTCTCTGCAGGGTTTTCATCCGGCTTAAAAAAAATCTTTGATTAGCCCCAGAGAGGGACCCAATTACCATAGAAACACTTAGCAGATTTCAGATCCGAAAGGTCAACGCCGAAGCTGTTGATCCCCCTCAGGTCAGATGGAATGATTCAGATCTATTTTTAATCAGCAGTCGCAGCTCCTACACCCACTCCATTTCCCTTCCAGCCCACCAGTTCAGAAATCTCCACCAGAGGCTTAAAAATAAAATAAACAAAGCACCTCACACATACCCCAAAGAAGCAGGCCACAAGATACCTCTGGAGTGTGCAAGGGGGCAGATAGTGGGGGGTGGACTTTAAATTAGTTGAAGGGGGGAAAGGAGGCCAAACCACAGAGTGGGAAGGAGCCGTAACTGAGTGGTAGGACATCTGCTTGAAGTGCAGAACGCCCCAATGGCATTTCTAGGTAGAGGCTGGGAAAAGATTCCCTTACCTGAAATCCTGGAGGACTGTGGACAATACTGAGCTATATGGACCAATGGTCTGACTCTGTATACGGCAGCTTTCTATGGGGATAGGTAATCAAGAGGAAGCAAAGACATCACCTTGCCAACAAAGGTCCGTATAGTTAAAGCCATGGTTTTCCCAGTAGTGATGTATGGAAGTGAGAGCTGGACCATAAGGAAGGTCGATCGCCAAAGAATTGATGCTTTTGAATTATGGTGCTGGAGGAGACTCTTGAGAGTCCCATGGACTGCAAGCAGATCAAACCTCTCCATTCTGAAGGAAATCAGCCCTGAGTGCTCACTGGAAGGACAGATCCTGAAGCTGAGGCTCCAATACTTTGGCCACCTCATGAGAAGATGTTGGGAAAGATGGAGGGCACAAGGAGAAGGGGACGACAGAGGACGAGATGGTTGGACAGTGTTCTCAAAGCTACCAGCATGAGTTTGACCAAACTGCAGGCGGCAGTGGAAGACAGGAGTGCCTGGCGTGCTCTGGTCCAGGGGGTCACAAAGAGTCGGACACGACTAAACAACAACAAAATCAAGAGGAAAGGACGCGGGTGGCGCTGTGGGTTAAACCACCGTGCTGCTTGGGGTTGCCGATCGAAAGGTCAGCGGTTCGAATCCCCGCGACAGAGTGAGGTCCCGTTGCTTGGTCCCTGCTCCTGCCAACGTACCAGTTCGAAAGCACGCCAGTGCAACTAGATAAATAGGTACCGCTACGGCGGGAAGGTAAACGGCGTTTCCGTGCACTGCTCTGGTTTCGCCAGAAGCGGCTTAGTCATGCTGGCCACATGACCCGGGAAAACTGTCTGCGGAAGCGGACAAACGCCGGCCTTTAAAGAGAGGTGAGTGCCGCAACCCCAGAGTCGTTCGTGACTGGACTTAATTGTAGGGGTCCCTTTACCCTTTACCTTTAATCAAGAGGAAAGGTAACTTTGGTCCCCCCAAATTATGATTAACACACATTAGGATAGGGGCGGACTTTGGTAATCTTTCGTACTACGGAGCCCTGTGCAAGGCCCAAATCTGGCACTCCCAAATGGATCTTCTCAATTTTGTGCCCCCTTTTTTTGGGGGGGGGGACAGCCCTAAATTGGGCACTGGATTAGCATATAAATATGTGCATCCCCCCCCCCCCGGCTGTCCTGCTATGGCAGGGCGTAAGTTCATCTGCCCCTCAGGAATCCTAGGCTCCCTCTGGAAGATACAAAGCTAATAACATGCATCCAATCGGAAGCAGTGTCGGACGTTCAGGTTTCAAAGAACGTTCACAAACCAGAACACTGAGATCCAGTGCCGAGGGCCTTCTGGCGGTTCCCTCATTGCGAGAAGTGAGGTTACAGGGAACCAGACAAAGGGCCTTCTCAGTGGTGGCGCCCGCCCTTTGGAACGCCCTCCCATCAGATGTCAAGGAAATAAGCAGCTGTCTTATTTTTAAAAGACATCTGAAGGCAGTTTTTAATATTTAATGCTGTATTGTTTTTAACACTCGATTGGGAGCCGCCCAGAGTGGCTGGGGAAACTCAGCCAGATGGGCGTGGTATAAATAATAAATTATTATTACTATTATTAATAATTATTAATTATTCCAAGTTTGCGGAGTTCAGGAGCCAGCACATTTGACTCGCAAGGCGTTTGGCACTCCAAGGTATGACTGTATGTGCTTGTATGTACTAATTCTGCTGGACTCAATTTTTGCCCAGATTTGTCTTCCTGGGTGTCAAGAGAGGGACTGATTTGATGGAGGGGGGAAAAGATGTCACTGGAGGTGTTGGCAGTTGCGGTACTTGCTCAAACGTCTTAATGCAGCTGCTGTACGAAGTAAACATGCAGCCACCCATAATGCAATGTGGAGATAATAACGCAGCTTTCTTTCACATACCTTTTGGGAAGACTGCGGTGTTAATATTCACAAGGAACACTGAACATCCAGAGCTCTATATAAATGCTAATTCTTTTTACATAATACTACCCTTACAGTTCTCTCTTATCTCGTTGGGAAACAGCCTTACAAACAAAAGAATCCTACTTCTGAACGATCAGAAAACAGGAGAACGGCAATTTATTCCCTCAAGACTGACAGGTCGTGGAGAAACCCAAACCCAACAAGTTAAATCATCCAGATTTACTACTGGGGGAAAAAGTAATAATTTAAGCAAGTAGACTGTCTTGGCCCAATAAAAAGCCCAGAGGATTCGCGGCCCTGACATGAATTATGAGATGACAAACGGGATCTGTGTGGTTTTTATCTGAAACATTAATCTGAAAATGAACGGAAATGCGGGTGCAAGGAAAACATGAGCCGGAAGCGTGACGCAGCGTCTAAAAGGGCTAATGCAATTCTAGGCAGCATCAATAACAAAGAAACAAAAAAGCGAAGTGACCAAATAATGAGAAGAAATGGCAATGTTCTGGAATGTTCCCCGGGGCAAGGAGATAAAAATGGTGAGGGGGGTTGGAGACCAAGCCGTGTTTGGGAAAGGCAGAATATGTTTAGCCTGGAGGCAGGAACAGGAAGAATAACCTGCTAGTTCAGGCTAAACCAGTTCAGCGCCATGATCTCACAGGGGCAAACCAGACGCTTATGGAAAGCCTGAAAGCAGGAACTGAGGGAAACACTTCTGGTTCCCAGTATACTGGGGAGGATTAGGGGAAGGGGCAAAGAGACAATGTAGAGCAATGGTCTCCAACTTCTCCCTCTACCTCAGACCATTTGAAAACTGCTGAGGGTCTTGGTGGACCACTCAACGGAACGCCCTCCCATCAGATGTCAAGGAGATAAATAACTATACAGTGGTACCTCAGGTTACATACGCTTCAGGTTACAGACTCCGCTAACCCAGAAACAGTGCTTCAGGTTAAGAACTTTGCTTCAGGATGAGAACAGAAATCGGGCTCCGGCAGTGCAGCAGCAGCAGGAGGCCCCATTAGCTAAAGTGGTGCTTCAAGTTAAGAACAGTTTCAGGTTAAGTACGGACCTCCAGAACGAATTAAGTACTTAACCTGAGGTACCACTGCTCAACTTTTAGAAGACATCTGAAGGCAGCCCTGTATTGGGAAGTTTGTAATATTTGATGTTTTATTATGTGCTGGAAGCCACCCAGAGTGGCTGGGGAAACCCAGCCAGAGGGATGAGGTATAATTACATTTTTTAAAAAATATCATTATTATTATTATTATTATTATTATTATTATTATTCCTTTCGTAGGAATTGTAACGTGCTGTGCTAGGTGCTGTATGGTTTTCAATTGCATTTTTACAGGCAAGTAAAACACAAACCACCTGAATGTGTCTCGGTCACAGAAAGGATTGAATGACTCCATCGAAATTACTTGCTTCCCCGCAAGGAATCCAACTGGAAAGTGATCAGAGGATGGAGCTATGGATCACACAGAGACCCACCGGGCACCCTCCTCTGCAGGCAATCTCAGGCCATGCCACACAGTTCGGGCTTTACTGTCCTGTGTTGTTTTTTTAATTTGCTTTGATTTCCCTCCAGGAGGTTTGCAGCTGTGCCCAGAAAAGGATTCTTAAAAGGGAAGAGATTTATGGGGAGGGGGGGTGGAATTACTGAAAGGGCAGCTCAAAGCCCTACAGACGTCTCCAAGAGAGCAGTCTGAGTACTTGGATTGGGAGAGCCCATTTGAAGAGAAGGAGGGAAAAGGAGGTGTGGGAAGGCCGGCAAAGCATTCCCTACATATTTCCATAATCAAGGACATCACTGTTGGGTTATTTCTCCTCCTTTTTTTAAAAAAAGAGAGACAGATGGAGGCATCCAAGTCAGAAAAAGCAACCTATTGTTAGGACGGCATGCCTGTGTTTGAGAGAGCTACAATGTGTCACAAAAAACGCCAAATTCCCCTCATTTAGGGCAGGCTTGGGTAGAATCTCAAGTCGGGGGGCCAGATGTGGCCCCCAGGCCTCTCTCTCTGGCCCTTGGAACTCTCTTGAGGCCACACCCTCTTTCCCCAGGCCGCGCCCTTCACTGGACTTGCTGCACATCCAAAGTGAGGGTGTTTGGGCTTAGCTGAAAGGTGTTTTTGATCTCTGCTCATGCCCCTTGCTTGCCAGGACGGAGGACAGGCAGAGGGGCCTGCGTGAGTGGGTGCAGAAATTAGCCTGCAGTACATTTACCTTTGTTTCTTGGGGGACAGGGGGTGGGCTGGTGTGGAGGACTCCCTGATCCTGAATGGGGTAACTGTGCGCAGCCTGGGAGTCATTTTGAACTCACGGCTGCCCATGGAGGCACAGATCAATTCTGTATCCAGGGCAGCTGTCTACCAGCTCCACCTGGTACGCAGGCTGAGACCCTACCTGCCTGTGGACTGTCTTGCCAGAGTGGTGCATGCTCTAGTTATCTACGGCTTGGACTACTGAAATGCACTCTATGTGGGGCTACCTTTGAAGGTGACCCAGAAACTACAACTAATCCAGAATGCGGCAGCTAGACTGGTGACTGGGGGTGGCCGCCGAGACCATATAACACTGGTCTTGAAAGACCTACATTGGCTCCCAGTACGTTTCCGAGCACAATTCAAAGTGTTGGTGCTGATCTTTAAAGCCCTAAACGGCCTCAGCCCAGTAGACCTGAAGGAGCGTCTCCACCCCCATCGTTCTACCACTGAGGTCCAGCTCTGAGGGCCTTCTGGCGGTTCCCTCATTGCGAGAAGTGAGGTTACAGGGAAACAGGCAGAGGGCCTTCTCGGTGGTGGCACCCGCCCTGTGGAACGCCCTCCCATCAGATGTCAAAGAGAACAACAACTACCAGACATTCAGAAGACATCTGGAGGCAGTCCTGCTCAGGGAAGTTTTTAATGTGTGACATCTTAGTGTATTTTTGGTCTTTGTGGAAGCCGCCCAGAGTGGCTGGGGAAACCCAGTAAGATGGGTGGGGTACAAATAAATTGTTGTTGTTGTTGTTGTTGTTGTTGTTGTTGTTGTTGTTATGTCTCCACCCAGCTTCGTCTCTGGCTCCACCTACCATGTGGACCTTGGAAGGCTGCTTAGAAGAGAACGTGGCCCTCTAGCAAGAAAAGGTTCCGTGTCCCTGGCTGAGGGCATTGGAAGCCAACGGTGGTAGCTTCTAAATGCAGAAGTGGTTCTCTGTCATGGACTGACTGGACGCAGAGGCACCAGTTGTGAAACCCCCAACAGATGAATGCTCAGAGCCCAGGATGTGGTGGTGGGATGACGATGAGAGGTCAGAGGGAGAAGAGGGAGCGGCCTGGGAGGAGGAGATGCTGGAAGATGGAAGCGGCAACGGGCTTTAGTGAGCAGGGAGAAGCTGTGGCAGAGAGCAGTCCAGAATCAGGGGCAGAAGTGGAGGCTGGGGGGGGGGAGAGGCCAAGATCAGGGAATCTTCCCCTGATCTTCCTCCTCCCTGATCTCCCAGAACACGCAGAGAAATGAAAAGAGCAGAGCAGAGGTGGGTTGCCTGCAGACATAGTCTCTGATTGCTTGGTCAGAGGAGAGGGATTTATGCAGCTGTGGGAAGGTGGGGAATTTCAGTTCTTGCAACTGCCTCATTGGGGGCAAGACCTACTAGGTGTCACTGCTGGGATCACTAGGCTTGCACTGTTTTGGTGTAGTCGAATAAAGAGTTAATTTCCCCACCACTGCCCTTCCTCAGACCCATTCACTTGCATTTTCTTTCTCTGGGCCCGCTCCACAGGGAGAGCGCCAGAAGGAGGAAGCAGAGGTTGGTGGGGCAGATCAGCCCCCACTGACAGCTGTGGGGCCTGGGCTTTAGCAGGAGCCTGACAAGGAATACCCCTGGCGCCAGCTCTGAGGATAAAGCTGATGAAAAAAGTGACTCGCTAAAGTTGCCTGAATTTCCACGCTATAGACAAAAACAGCCACTCCATGGCTCAAAGGAAGGGGACTTAATCTTGCGCAGCTACAGCCATGCCAAAGTGTCCCAAACTGAGCTGCCTCAGTAGCACCTGTTTTCCTTTTCATATGAGACAACCCAAGTTTCTAGGTGTCATTGTGGGAGAAAGCCCATAGAACACCGGTCCTGAAAGACCTACATTTGCTCCCAGTACGTTTCTGAGCACAATTCAAAGTGTTGGTGCTGACCTTTCAAGCGCTACATGGCCCAGTATACCTGAAGGAGTGTCTCCACCCCCATCATTCAGCCCAGACACTGAGGTCCAGCTCTGAGGGCCTTCTGGAGGTTCCTTCCCTGTGATAAGTAAGGTTTCAGGGAACCAGGCAGAGGGCCTTCTTAGTGGTGGCACCTACCCTGTGAAACGCCCTCCCATCAGTCGTCAAGGAAATAAACAACTAAGTGCAAACTTCCGGGTGCGAATGAGATCCGTTCCGGAGGTCCAGGCACATCCTGAGGAATTCGCAACCAGAGGACCACTTCTGCACATACGCGCACGGTCAAAACCTGGAAAAATACTCTGTGGCTTTGTTTTGAGTCAGCCCAAAGGCCGGGAGGCTGTGGGTTCTGAAACCCACTGGGCAGGGCAAAGGTGCAGTTAGTTGCTGCCAGACCCACTGACCACACCCACAACGTTAAGACATTTGTGAAAGCAAGTGGGATACAAGAATCCACAGAAATAAACCGAGTTGCATCTGCCCGTCGCCACTCTGCTTTCGCTTAAACCTCCTAAGAACTTTCTTGGCCGGACTACAAAGCCACCATGTAGCTCTTCTTACAGATGAGATACAATGCAGCTGAAACAAAACCCTTTCACCATCACACCTGCCAAAGACAGCGGGGGGGGGGGGGGGCACCACCAAACCACCCAATGAGAAAGCAAAAAATGAGTTTCCATATGCTCACTTCCCAGAATGGATTTAAGGGGCCTGCTTAAAAGCATTGGGTGATCAATGTACCTCCCCAAATAGAATCTGCTGATTAAGGACCACATTTTCCTTTGGAAAGCAACACGTCTATGTGTTGAAAAGTTTCCGAGAGAGAGAGAGAGAGATTTGGTGGAGGGCAAGAGAAAGGGTCCTAGTGTTCTTGTTTTTCAATTTGATCCTTTTACATTGGTTTGTACGTTTTGTGGTATTTTATGCATTGTGACTTTCCATTATTTTCATTGATTATCGTTTACACTTAAGAATTACAATAAATAATTACTAAACAGTTTAATTATTATTTGCTGACATTTAATTTTACGCTTTGCTATTACGTTCTAACGGATTACTGACTGTTGCTTTATTCAATATATTGTTAGTTGTAAAGTAATGTTTTTATTGTGACTTTTTTGTATGGGGTCAGATTGTTATTAGGTGTGTGATTTGTCTATTTTTTTGTTTCTTCAGTCTGTAAACAGCCTTGTGTATGGCGTAATATAGAAAGGTGGAACACAAATAAAAAGTGGAAATGGAAAAAGTGAAAGGAAAGGGTGGGGGGCTTCCAGACTGAGGGCCATTTATGGGCCCTTTGCACCTCTCCACCTGGCCCTCAGGACTCCCCCCAGGCCACACCCCCTCCTCCAGCCTCACTCCTTGCACAACCTCCTTGAATGTTTTTGCCTGGCAGAAATGTGTTCTTGGACTCTGATAATGCCTCTTGCTTGGCTGCATGGAGGGCCGAGAGTGGTTATAGAAATGAACTTCCTGTCCGAAGGTAAAATGCTAATTCGTTGATCCACCCACTTTTTCCTCTGGTCCTGCCCACCAACAGTATGAGGTCCTTGGAAGGATGGTCAGAGGAAAAGCTGTGCCCTTCTTTGACCCACAGCCAGCCTCTCTGGGCAGCCAAAGTGACTTTTCAAGCCTGCAGTTGGCAAAAGAGCTCAAGGTAGGTTCCTGAGAATGGTCCTTTCCCTGCCGCTTTGAAGGCCAATACAGTGGTACCTCAGGTTACATACGCTTCAGGTTACAGACTCCGCTAACCCAGAAATAGTGCTTCAGGTTAAGAACTTTGCTTCAGGATGAGAACAGAAATCGTGCTCCGGCAGCGCGGCAGCAGCAGGAGGCCCCATTAGCTAAAGTGGTGCTTCATGTTAAGAACAGTTTCAGGTTAAGTACGGGCCTCCGGAACAAATTAAGTACTTAACCCAAGGTACCACTGTAAACGTATCTCAGCCTGGCCTACCCTGCAGGCTAGTCGGTAGGATAAAACTAGGGGTGGCGGAAACCTACACAGAAGAAGGGAGATAGATAGGGGATAAATAAATGCACTGCATTTTATCGCAAGCTTAACCCTGCAGTCATCTGAAAAGTCAAGGAGGCAGATGAGGAATGCCTCTCCGAAGGAGTGTAAAAGAGGCAAACTACATCAGTGCTTTCGTACAGGAGAGTCCAGCTAAACATCAAGAAGAACTTTCTGACAGCAAGAGCTGTTTGGGAAGTGGAAAGGTCTCCCTCAGAAGGTTGTGCGCTCTCCTTCCTTGGAGGTAAGATTGTCTGGCCATCTGTCTAAGAGAAAAAGACAACAGAGACTTTGAAAAAGACTGGGAACCATTCCTATTATATTTGCAGAAACAAAGAAAGACAATAGACTTGATGGCAGGATTTAAATAAACATCCCCATTATTAGCATCAGAAAATGTTTGGAAGCTAGTGAAATAAGATCATGTCTTTAATTTTATTTTTATGTTTTTAAGGTTTGATGTTATGTTATTAATAACGTTTCCTGTTGAGAGATAGCAAAGCGGGTGAAAATAGAAACAAACCAGAAACGCAAGTTGTGAGAATTGTTGGAGGGGAGGAAGGGAGGAATATATAGTAAATGCTAAGAATTTGAGATGTATGTTAATGAATGAAAATGAATAAATAAAAGAAAAGATTGTATGGCCATCTGTCATCGCTGCTTTAGCAGAGAGTCCTGCATTGCGGGCAGTGAGGGGGCTGGACTAGATGGGCCTCGGGGTCCCTTCCAACTCTACAATTCTATGATTCTACAGGAATAGGAACCAAGAGGCAGTGTGGTGCAGTGGTTAAGGTTTCAGACTAGGAGGGCAGTGGCGGGGGAGGGCGGGAAAGAAGCCACAGTTCCCACATCTCCATTCAGCCATGAAGCTCACTGGGTGACCCTGGGCCAGCCTCTTCCAGCCTTGCCTACCTCGCAGGGTTATTAGTGAGGATTAAGAAGAACCTTTCCTGTCAACCTAGCAGTTCGAAAGCACACCAGTGCAAGCAGATAAATAGGTACTGCTCCAGCAGGAAGGTAAACGACGTTTCTGTGTGCTGCTCTGGTTTGCCAGAAGCGGCTTAGTCATGCTGGCCACATGACCCGGAAGCTGTACGCCGGCTCCCTCGGCCAATAAAGCGAGATGAGCGCCGCAACCCCAGAGTCAGCCACGACTGGACCTAACGGTGAGGGGTCCCTTTACCTTTACCTAAGAAGAACCTTATATGCCTTTGGAGGAGGGGGCAACACGATTCCATAAAACCTGGTGGCCGTCTTGTGGCGGCTCCTCGGCCTAAAGCTTTTCACACGGGTCCTTATTATCCAAGGCAACGAGGCGTTCCAAAATCCCCATAAGAGATGCCCAGTCCACGCAGGAACAGCGCAGAAGGGCTCTGTTGGAACAAGCCCAAGGCCGATTCAGCCCAGTATCCCGGAGCCAACCCTGACGCCTCTGGGAAGCCCACAAGCGGGACGGGGAGGCAACTGCCCCTTCTCCCCGCTCGCAAGCCCTGGGGTCCGGCGCTCCCAAGGCGTACCTTGGAAATGAGTTCGTCGTGGTTTGCCAGGTGGGCTCTGCAATGGATGCAGCTGTAGGTTCTGTGGCAGGAAGGCAGGTAAGCTTGGAACGTCTTGGACCGTGTCATCTTCACCATTGGAGCCACGGAGCGCTGGGTGAACTCTGGGGTGGCCCACGAGGCGCTCCCACAAGACGGGTCGCAGGGGAAACACTGGAACACGCAGGTGAAGGCCGTGGCTTGGCAGGGGGCAGGTGTGGGGCAGGCTCCACACGCTGGCGACGGCTTCGGGGGAAGAGAACCTGGCGCAGGGGCCGGTCGACGACCTGCTCGGACCTGCGGAGGGCAGAAGAAGGAAAAACAAGGAAGTGAAACAAAGGGTTTAAACAGATAAAAAGCCGCACAGACACCTGAAATTTCCCAAGTTCCAGTTCTGAAGGAGTAACCCTGATATTTTTCCAAGCAGAAAGTTGAATTTGCATGCAGACACCCCTGAAATCTCTAAAGTTCCCATTCTAAATGAGAAACACCAGGTTTTCCAGTAAGAAAATTGAATTTAAGCCTATGCTTTCGCACACACACAAAAATGCACACACACACGCAGAAACATCTATAATAGCTCAAGTTCCAGTTGTGAATGACGAACTTGTGTTTGCAGATGCACACACACCTAAAACCTCTCAAGTCTGTTTCTTGCATGAGCAGCCCCAATCATTTTGCAATGGGGAAACAAATAAATTAAAAACCTGTCCCGGTTCACACATCAACACACACCTGGAATCTGTCAACTCCCAGTCCCCAATTATTTGCCGAGAAGAAAATGCAATTTGAAATATGCCCGGGTTTTTCCCCTCAGCTCCTAGAAACGGCTTTCCTTACAGCACAACCTTAGGTGGGTTTACTCAGAAGTTAGTCCGGGCAAAGCCAATGAAAAATTTAGCAAGCATGCCGACGTCTCCAACACCAGATCTCTCGAAAGGTGTCTTCGGTGGAGATGTGAACACTAGAAATTTCCTTTTTTAAAAAAAGAGATAAAAAATAGGGGTGGAGAAAAGAGCTTCTCCAGAAACACAGTTGTGCTTTCACAACACAGAATACAAAACAGGTTCGGCCTGTTTGCTTCCTGACCAGTTTTCAAGTTTCTAGCCCTCTGTCTCTTTATTTTTAAATCAACGAAACGAAGCCTCCAGGGGTGCATTTGTGGGGCTAAAAACTGCCAGTTTTTACAGTGCAATCTTATCTATATGTTGACTCAGAAATAAGCTCCATTAAGCTCAATGGGACTTAAATCCCAGGAAAGTGTGTGCAGGATTTGTAGTTTTAGCACCTAAGTATTTCAAGTATGAGGAAGGACTGCCTGCAGCTCAAGGAGAGCACTTGCTCTGCATGCAGAAGGTCGCAGGGTTTAATCTCTGGCATCTCCAGGTAGGGCTGGGAGGCACGCCTGCCTGAAACCTTGGAGAGAGGCTGCCAGTCAGTGCAGACAGTACTGGGCTAAATGGACCAAAGGTCTGATTCAGTAGAAGGCTGGTTCCTATGTTCTCAATAGAGACCCAGGTCACCTCCCAGACAGGCCTATATTCCTTTACCCAGGGCAGGCAGGCAGGTGGGAACTTTCCAGCTTTCCAGATGTTGGTGAACTCCCACCAGCCTCAGGCAGCATGGTCAGGGTTGATGGGAATCCAACAACATCTGGGACAGAGTTTCTCAACGTTTTTAGCTCCCCTTTTAGCTAAAAATCCTACACTTCAAACATGGCTCGCCTGATTATTTTATCACCGCCCCTCCCCATATCTTCATAAGGCCCTCCCCTAATTCAAAATATATTCATCATCATGTCCAGGCATCCCCAAACTCAGCCCTCCAGATGTTCTGGGACTACAATTCCCATCATGCCTGACCACTGGTCCTGTTAGCTAGGGATGATGGGAGTTGTAGTATGGAGGGCCGAGTTTGGGGAAGCCTGATCATGTCTCTAGTCCTTTTACTTATAGAGATTGTCAACGGAAGGGGCAATTGTCAAGGAACTGTTTTTACTTATTGAATAAATTGCCATATATTTGTGGGGCTAGAACTCCCACCAGAGTTGCCTGGGGCTGATGGGAATTGTAGTTCCAAACATCTAGAAGGTGCAAGGCTGGTCAACATGGGTTTATGGTTTACAACCCTATACTGACAGCAATTAGGGGTGGTAGCAGCTGAAAAAATATTGAACGAAATAGATCCTTTGCATGTTTACTCAGAAGTAGGAAGTTAATCCTACTGTGTTCTACGGGACCTACTTAGCAACGGTGTGCTGTTATTGGGCTATTTTTATTGACTTAAACAGTGCTTATCATTAGGCAAGGCAGATTCTTTAATATATATATACAGGTACCTTTTTTAAAAAAAATAAGCTTCAAGCAGCAAGATGCACCATTTTCATATAGATATATAGTTTGGGGCATATGCTGATTTGATGCAGGTTTCAAATATATTAAAAATTCAGGCAATCGATCAACTGAGGACCAAATGACACAGAATATTTTTCATACACAGAAACTGGCTGTTTTTATTCTGAAGAGATAAAAAGCAGCAGCCCCCATTTGGTTAAGAATGTGCCCCGATCTAGATTGGGGTCCACACACCAGGCCCTTGCTAAAATCATCTCTCTCCGGCAGCTGAAGATAAAAGTTTTTGGAAAAGGGCATCTTTGGGAGCCAAAAAGCACATGGATAGCATTGTTGCTGGACAATCCCTGATCTGCATTATGGCCCCAGCTGTTCTTCCTCCAATTTAGAAGTGGCCAGTTTAAACATCCTTCCACATATTAAACATTTCACCTATATATGGCATAACAAAGCCTTTCTGCTAAAACCATAAGGTATTCATTCTTTTTGATGTAAAAACACTTCCCGCATTCATTGTATTACCTAGGTTTGTTTGTTTTCATCACTTTATTATCTGGTTAACTTGAGGGGAAACTCCCCAGCAGACAAAATGAAAGGGGGAAAGCAGAAAATGTTTTCTCTAAGCTGGCTGAAGTAACTTGCCAAAAGCAGAAGAACTGATCTCCCAAAAGGTGACCTGCAACTATTTCTGTCCGGCTGAAAACCATCTCCCTAACAAAAAGACCCCAAACCACAAATCTCAACACAACGCCATGCCCCCAGCTCAGCAGAGGCAGCACTGCTGATCACTCACAGGGGGATTTGAGAGATACTGCAGTGGATGGAGGCAGTAGGAGAGCAGAAGAGATCCCAATCGATCCATCCGCCTGGCTCACTAGACAGAAGCGAAGTTTCAACCACAGACTTTGTCCCCCACAGAAACCCCCGGGGCGTTGAGAGGATGTGAAGCAGAAAGACCCCCAAACTGTGTGCTGGGGTACCAAACCCTACAAGTGTCTCTATTTTCCATGGACGTCCCTGATTTAGAGAAGCCATCCCAGTTTCTGATTTGATCCCAGAAAGTCCCACTTTTCCTTAAAGGTAAAGGTAAAGGGACCCCTGACCATTAGGTCCAGTCATAGCCGACTCTGGGGTTGCGGCGCTCATCTCGCTTTATTGGCCGAGGGAGCCGGCATACAGCTTCTGTGTCATGCGGCCAGCATGACTAAGCCGCTTCTGGCGAACCAGAGCAGTGCACAGAAACACCGTTTACCTTCCCGCTGGAGAGGTACCTATTTATCTACTTGCACTTTGATGTGCTTTCGAACTGCTAGGTTGGCAGGAGCAGGGACCAAGCAACAGGAGCTCACCCCATCACGGGGATTCAAACCGCCAATCTTCTGATCGGCAATCCCTAGGCTCAGTGGTCTAGACCACAGCGTTTTTCCTTAGGATGTCCCTATTTTCATTGGAGGAATATTGGAGGGTATGGAGCTATCTGACCCCTGAGCCGTCTGAAGGCAATCCTGTATAGGGAAGTGGTTTTTTTAAAAAAATATGTTTTATTATGTTTTCATGTATGTTGGAAGCTGCCCAGAGTGGCTGGGGCAACCCAGTAAGATCTGTGTGGAATAAAGAGTAAAATTATCATTGTGGAATGGGACATCGCTATTTTCATCGGAGAAATGTTGGGAGGGTATGGGGTACCATCGCCCCACAGGATGAGAAGGTCCCAGGCCCCATATGCACCATACATTAAAAGTGGGATCACAATAAGGAATTCTGGGAGCTGTAGTTTGTTCAGGGTGCTGAGAGTGGCGAGGAGGCCCCTATTCCCGTCACAGAGCTACAATTCCCAGAGTTCCCTGGGAAGGTGGAATATTAAATGAAATAGCTCACAGCTACTATAAGGCCAGGGACGCAGGTGGCGCTGTGGGTTAAACCACAGAGCCTAGGACTTGCTGATCAGAAAGTCGGTGGTTTGAATCCCCGCAACGGTGTGAGCTCCCGTTGCTCGGTCCCAGCTCCTGCCAACCTAGCAGTTTGAAATCACATCAAAGTGCAAGTAGATAAATAGGTACCGCTCTGGTGGGAAGGTAAACGGCGTTTCCGTGCACTGCTCTGGTTCGCCAGAAGCGGCTTAGTCATGCTGGCCACATGACCCAGAAGCTGTACGCTGGCTCCCTCGGCCAATAAAGCGAGATGAGCACCGCAACCCCAGAGTCAGCCACGACTGGACCTAATGGTCAGGGGTCCCTTTACCTTTACCTTTACCTTTACCATAAGGCCAGTGTTGTGGGGGAGTGGGTTGGACTAGATGACCCTTGGAGTCCCTGCCAACTTTGCGATTCTAACGTCAGACGCTCCAAAATGTCCCTAGCTGAAGGTTTTCTCCCCAGCCAGCCACCGCGGATCCCTGTTCCGCTCTGCCCCAGGAGGGCAATGACAGGCACGAACGCCTCACTTGTCTTGTAAACTGCTGAGCAAGGGCCCTCTGCCATCACAGTAAACTCAGCGCTTTTAAGCCTAAAAAAAGAGAGAGAAAGGGAACGCAACACTTTGCAGAACTGCCAACTGAGCAGATCGGCTTTTCAGCAGGGGGGAAAAGGGAGGGAAGCCCTCAAGATGCTCTGAGGTTGCCTGCCACTTGCCAAACCTCTCTGATTCCGGATTACGGAAGGTGAGGCAGGCTTGGAACGCAGGTAGGCTACCAGCCACAATGGCCAAATTCAGCCTCCACTCAGAAGTGGAGGGAGCGTTTTTGTGGTGCTCAGGTCCTGCTTTTTGGGCCTTGCATTGGGGCATCTGGTCTATTTGTTTACTAGCGGGGAGTTCCCGGCATCACCAAGGAAACCCAAAAACATTGTGTTTTTTATACTGATAGTGCCTTTGTGAGTTCTAGGGCACAACCAACCCAGGGCTCCTGCCTGACCCAGCCCCAAATCCATTTGTGCCCAAATCCATTTGTCTACTCGCTAATGTCCAATTAAGGTTCACTGGTCCGCCATCTTGATTCAACATGGTGTCTGGTTTCCAAACACAGATGAAGACTGCTTCCTCCACCCCAGGGACCCTCGTGACACATTGGGCGATGCTATCTTCAGAGACCTCCAAATCAGCAAGGGGTTCTAATGAAACCGACCCTTAATCCAGAATCGTGAGGACTGGGAGATTGTTGCGTTTCAGTGGAAGAGCCTCAGCTTTGCCCCAGCAGATCCAAGCAGGGTGGACAAAGACCGGCTTGGCTGGAGAGCTGCTGCCAGTCAGCGTAGGCCAGGGGTCAGCAAACTTTTTTCACAGGGGGCCAGTCCACTCTCCCTCAGACCTTGTGGGGGGCCGGACTAGATTTTGAAAAGAAAATATGAATGAATTCTTATGCTCCACAAATAACCCAGAGATGCATTTTAAATAAAAGCACACATTCTACTCGTGTAAAAACACGCTGATTCCTGGACCATCCACGGGCCAGATTTAGAAGGCAATGGGGCTGGATGCGGCCCCTGGGCCTTAGTTTGCCTACCCATGGTGTAGGCAATATTGAACTTGATGGGCCAAGAGCCTGACTCAGGATTAAGGTAACTTCCAGAGAAAATGGGCTGCCAACCTGCAGATCCTAATCCAGCTTCCAGCTGTGTAAAGAGCCGGTTTGACTATGCCCACACGTAGCCATTGTTGATCGCATAAAAATATATAAATAAAACCAGTTGCAGCCTCCCACGGCCCCTTCTTTTATGCTTCGGCCAGCTTCTGGCTGGATGGAAAAGGCCTTTTCGAGCTATTTAAAGCCCAGAGCCTTCTGTTTCCATTCCTGCTGGAGTATTTCAAGATTAGGGAGTGTTTGACTTCCACTCCCTGCTCCTTAAATAGGGGCTTCCCTCAAATCAACGCCCCCTCCAGCAGTTTAAAGCTGCGCCCTCTCTTTGTTGGGAATGAGTTGTGGTTTTTTTTGAGGGAGTCTTTGCCTGGGTGGCAAGGTCTGCTCTGCCCCACATGCCCTTTCCCTCTCATTCTCTCACACACACACCCATGAAAAGGCTTCCCCTGCCACTCTCAGCCAATCAGCTGGCTATTATGGGCAGAAGAGCCAGCCAGTATGAGATCAGTTGGCAAACCCTACTGAGCTGTAGATAAGTGTAAACTTGCTGACAAGTGTGAATGATTGCAACTAGCTGGAATGTGTCCTTGAACTCTGATAAGTGTCTCTCGCTTGTCTAGATGACGAGAGAGGCTTGCGTGAGTGCGTGTGTAGCCTCCTGTCAAAAAGTGAAAATCTGGACACAACAAAGTTGTTGGAGCTACACTTCCGACATGAGCTTTGATATGCCTGGATTTCCCTGGACGTTTCAGCGATTCCCGCCCGGACGCTGTTTATGATGACAGAATCCCAGCTATGGCAACCCTACCTACTGTATGAAAAAGCCACAAAATTCACAAACAGAAAGGAGCGTGGCCCTTGAACAGAAAACACTTCCCCACCTTACCTTATCCTGTAAGAATCTACAAATCATAGGCCAGATCATTTGCCCACTTAGCCCAATATTGTCTGCTCTGGCTGGCAGCATCCCTTGCCAGCTACCTAGGGTCCTTTCAAACTGGAGATGAAATTTGAGGCAAAGCATATGTTCTATTCACTGAGCAATGGTCTCTTCCCCATATATACACAACTCTTTTCCAAGTATGGAGCGGCTATGCCTTCTTATTGGACATTCTGCACTCTGCGTATGCTCAGGGGCAAATTCCTCTCTTACTACTGCTTGATGTGCATTTTAAACGTCTAGACTGCACTCATCTCACAAGGTCTGACATAGGAGCCAACTCCCTGGGGCCCTGGGTGCCTGAGCACCCACAAAATTCCCCATGAAAGGGCTGGGCACCCACAGATTTCTGTGCCAGGGCCATGCACACTGCATGGTACCCAGGGCAGCCATGGACACAGGGCCAAACTGGTACTCCTGAGGTCTGGCAGGGAGGCCAGAGCAGAACAATGCATTTTTTTCCTGTTTAGAATTATTTTTGATCTTATTTTTTTCCTGCCATTTCCTGCTAGGTCCTCCTCTCTCCCTTGATATGAGCAGCTTGGTAATGCCAGCAGCCCCTACCCCACTTTCAGAGGGAGCGGCTGTCTGCACCTGACCCAGACTTGACTGGGGGTGGGGGGTTAGCAACCTCTCAATGGAGGGCGGGTGGGCAGGCAGGGAGCAGTCTCTGGCTTGCAGACCAATCGAGGGCCGCAAGATGTTGTTTCAAAACCCATATCCACCTTCCACTCAGCTGGCATCGCTCTGATGGGGGCAACATCAGCTACTGGATACAGGTTCAGGGTTGTATCCTGTGCTACCTGCAGAACAGATGCACGCAGCACGCTGCTGTCTGAAAGCTGCTTTCCACCCAGCCCCGGGCTGCTCTTCAAAACTCAGTTTCCCAGAGGTTTTAAAAAACAGCACTGGACTTTTTGCAAAAGGGCTTTCAAACAGGTCCATGCTGCTCTTTGACGTCCTGACAGTCAGGGCTACAAAGCGCAGTCACAGTGAGGGCAGGTGGGCAGGGAAGGACCTAGCCTCCTGGGCAGAAAAGTTCCCTGCCCCTGCTCTAGTCTTGCTAAAGCAAAATTTAAAAATCACAGTCCTTAAAAGAAAAAATTAACATCCCACAAACCTCTTCCACCAAGCTTCCTCACTGCAGTTTTCATTTTGCCAGCCCCTCTCTTGAAGAAATGAGACACTTTTCACACATTTGTGCATCGAGGGACCCCAGTGAGAGAAACTGGCAGAATCGTGACTCACGCCAGTGTCGCACATCACTCTGCTGTGCCTTTTTATGGTGAGACAGAAGCTGTATCCTACTTTCCCATTAAAAATATATATATTCCACAAACACAGGAGGCTGACTTATGCTGAGTCACCCCATCCGTCCATCAAGCTCAGTATCATTGACACTGACCAACAGCATCACTCCAGATTTTCAGGAAGCGGGTATTTCACAGCCCTCCCAGGAGATGACATTGACATTGGACCTTGGACCTTCTAGATGCAAAGCAGATGTTCTACACACATACACCCAAGCTAGGGCTTTGGAAAGGAGAGCATGTTGTAGGTTAGGAAGCATCACATTATTTGGGGTTGCAGGGACACATAAACTTTATTTTTCTATTTCAGCATGGTCGGGCAGCCATGCGCCAAATAAGCGACAGAACTTCAACTTCAGTCGTGGCCACGGAATAGATAAGAGATCCTTTAAACTGGAAGTCCAGAACTGAAGTGATGCTGATAAGAACACTGTTCTCTTTTTGAAAGCTGGAGACATATACAGTGGTACCTTGGGTTACATACGCTTCAGGTTACAGACTCTGCTAACCCAGAAATATTACCTCGGGTTAAGAACTTTGCTTCAGGATGAGAACAGAAATTGTGCTCCGCGGCGCGACGGCAGCTGGAGGCCCCATTAGCTAGAGTGGTGCTTCAGGTTAAGAACAGTTTCAGGTTAAGAACAGAACTCCAGAACAAATTAAGTTCTTAACCCGAGGTACCACTGTACTTGGGAAATTTCTTCAGCTCTAGGGCCGCACCCAGTGATGGGCAACCTTCTAAGGGCCACATGCCACAGGTGGGCGGGGCCAAAGGCAAAAGTGGGCGGGTGTGAATTTTGGCTAGTCACATATTTGGGCATTATCAGAATGAACAGACGCACTCCAGCCAGGGGTAAACAATGAAGGTGTAGAACTGGGCTGGTGAGAGTCCAGAGGGCCACACAGAGAAGCTTGGGGTCCGCATTTGTCCCACCGGCCGAGCCCTGCCGTAACACAACCAGGTAAGAGATTGAACCCACAATCCCATGTTTGCCTGGGTTGTTGGCATCTATCTCTCTTGCAAGACAGACCGTTGGAGAGTTACAGCGCCTGCTGTGGCTGTAGAGACCGATATGGGACAGACATGTTTTGTTGCAGTTGGGGCAGAGGAAGACGTCCAGTTGTGCTGCTGCAACAGATACACTATGGTGTTTCTTCTCTCTGTGCTCCTCCCAGAGGGCATTCCTCCTCTGGTCACTGTTTTGGATGCACAAACTAACTATCCATCCTTCAAGCACTGTGATCAGGCTCCTCTCAGAAGCCATTCCCACACAGCAAGGTTGATATTGCCAATCTTCATGCCACGTTTGCAGACATTTTTGTAGCTCAGTTAGTCTGCCAACAGGCCTGGCGCCTGAACCATGTCCTTGGGGATCCTGCTATCTTCCATTCTGCAAACATGACTGAGCCAGTGTAGATGTCCCTGAGACAGGACTGCAATCATGCTGGGAATGTGGGCTTGGGAGAGCACCACTTTGAGACTCTGTCCTGCCATTTCCTGGGTAGCAAAGCAACTTTTAGGTTCCATCTACACTTTAAAGCGACAGGGACGCAGGTGGCGCTGTGGGTTAAACCACAGAGCCTAGGACTTGCCGATCAGAAGGTCGGCGGTTCGAATCCCCGCGACGGGCTGAGCTCCCATTGCTCGGTCCCTGCTCCTGCCAACCTACCAGTTCAAAAGCACGTCAAAGTGCAAGTAGATAAATAGGTACCGCTCCAGTGGGAAGGTAAACGGCGTTTCTGTGCGCTGCTCTGGTTCGCCAGAAGCGGCTTAGTCATGCTGGCCACATGACCCATAAGCTGTATGCCGGCTCCCTCAGCCAATAAAGCGAGATGAGCGCCGCAACCCCAGAGTCGGTCATGACTGGACCTAATGGTCAGGGGTCCCTTTACCTTTACACTTTAAAGCAGCCACATACCACTTCAAACTGTCATGGTTTCCTCCAAAGTACCTTGGGAACTGTAGCTTCCCTGGGAAGCGGGACTCATTGCTCTGGAAATTGTAGCTCTGTGAGGTGTCTCCTAATGCCTTTCAGCACCCTTAACAAACTAGAGTTCCCAAGATTCTCTCTTCTTCTTTTTGCGGGGGAAGGAATACTTGACTGTTTATAAAGTGGTATAATACTGCTTCAAATGTAAGGTGCAGATGGTGCCCGAAAGTTGGCCGGATCCATCAGATTCCCCACCCACCCGCTTCAGGCTGGATCTCTCTCCCTGCTTCGCCAAACAGCAGTTTCAGTCTTGGGTTGCAACCAGCTTCCCCACCCACCATCAGGATTGGCACCCATCCCACGGTGGCAAAGCAGAGGGCAGGGGAGCCCTCAAGCCCGCAGAACTGAGAGAGTAGTGAGTGCCTTTCCGAAAGGAGAGATATTTATTTCTTACCCCTGCATTGCAGAGGGGCTGGACTAGATGACCCCCCTTGGGCCCCTTCCAAGCCTACAGTGCTATGCATATAAAAATAAATGTCCATTTGCCCTTGCTTTTTCTGGATCGTGCCACATAATCGCCACCTCCTGGCATTGCTCCGTGTGGAGCAACAGATGTTTTGCTGAGCACATTTTGGCAGCCGGCCAAGAGCAGCTCGAACAAATATATTCTCTTGCTCTCCCCCCTCCCCGCCACAGTGCTTCTCTTCCAAACGATCAAGTTCAAACAGCTAATTGGAGCTTAGCTGGTCAGCAACGCAAGAACACAGCATCTCCAGAACATGTGTGTGTGCATCTTCACCCTCTGGACTGGTGACCAGACCTTTCCAAAACATTGGTGGCAAAATTATTATTTTATTATTTTAAATGGAGATGTGTGCAGGTCTTGGACTGCTAAAGGTGTAGGTTGACTTCAGCCTTCAGCAGCCTGACCTAGAACTCCCATCTTCCCCAGCCAATTCAACCAGGTTGAATTAGAACTGATTTTAGCATGAATTGATTTTAGAATGCATTTCAATTAATTGATTGTGATTTTATGTAAATTGTGTTATTTTTATTGTTGTTAGCCACTCTGAGCCCGGCTTTGGCTGGGGAGGGCGGGATATAAATAAATTATTATTATTATTATTCCAAAACACCTGGAAGAGCACCCGATGGCCAAAGGTTGACCCTTAAAGGGGTGGCTGACTCGCAGTTCCCCAGAGGCTGCCAAAATGCAATCCCCGCCACCCCTGATCCCTGGCAGGGACCGGTATCAAGTTCAACAACAGCTGGGCCAAGCACAGCTTTAGCAGTCTCAGAAACTCAGATATAAGAGATAATAGCCAAATGGTGATTAGCACAGTGCAACCCTCCCAGGACATGGCGTGATTTGGATAGCCTCCTACACCAGAGGCGTTGAGTGTCTATGGCCAATAACAGCAATTTCTCTCTCTTTCCCACATGATAAACGCTTTAAAAAAAAAAGATACGATAAAGTATGTCCAAACCAATGAGTGTTCCACGTAATGAAATGGTTACCAGCTTGAGAGAACTTGCACCATTGGCTGGCTTTGCAGGATTTGGGGAAGTAGCAATTAAAGGCATCGAGGCAAGCCAATGTGCCGAGGTATATTATATGTACCTGCTGTTGTCCCAAGTCATCCCCTGGCAAATCACAAAGAAATACAACGAGTGATCATTATTCTGCCAAGAACTCATCAATACAAAAAAAGGAAATCCTTGCGATTAATCACGCTCCTCAGCAGGGCAAAATAGATGCTTTGCACGCAGAGACGTTTATCAGAATAAACATCTATCCATTTCACAAGGCTGCCTTTAATTCTACGAGAGTCAACCTGGTGACCCCCCGTTTTTGCTTAACTACATTACATTCCTGATCATTGGGCAGAGGTGCCTGGGGGCTGATGGGAGCTGGGAACCCAACAAGTTCTGGGGGAAATCTCTCCCTCAAAAAACACTAGAACCCAAACAGGACCATCCAATGGAGCTGCATGTTTGAAGGTTGAGGACGAACAAAAGGAAGTGCTCAACGAACAGTTAAACTGTGGAACTCATTCCTGCAGGAGCCAGTGATGGCCACCACCTTAAAAGAGGATTGGACAAGTTCATGGAGGAGAAAGGCTATCAATGGGTACTAGCCATGATTGCTCTGCCTCCACGTTTGGAGGTAGTAACAAGACCCTCCAAGCCTCCCTATTTTCCAGGGACTGTCCCGGATTCACAGAAACCATCATGGTTTCTGATTTGATCCCAGAATGTCCCAGTTTTCTTTAGGACGTCCCTATTTTCATCAGAAAAAGGTATGGAATTATGCGACCCCTGAGCCAAGGAGATAAGTAACTATACAACCTTTAGAATACATCTAAAGGAAGCACTGTACAGTGGTACCTCGCAAGACGAATGCCTCGCAAGACAAAAAACTTGCTAGACGAAAGGGTTTTTTGTTTTTTGAGCTGCTTCGCAAGACGATTTTCCCTATGGGCTTGCTTCGCAAGACGGAAACGTCTTGCAAGTTTGTTTCCTTTTCTTAACACCGTTAATACAGTTGCGACTTGACTTCCAGGAGCAACTCATAGAACGCGGTGTGGTAGCCTTTTTTGAGGTTTTTAAAGATTTTGGTGATTTTTGAAGCTTTTCCAAAACTTTCCCGACACCGTGCTTCGCAAGACGAAAAAAATCGCAAGACGACAAAACTCGCGGAACGAATTAAGTTCGTCTTGCGAGGCACCACTGTATATGTAAGGTGTTTTTTTTTAGTGTTTAATTTTTTATTATGTATTTATTATTTATTATAATTTGCTCTTTTTAAATGTTTTATTATGTATTTGTTATTTATTATAGTTTGCTCCCCCAAAGATGTAGGGATGGCTGTCAACTTGGATGGGCCTATTGGGTTCCAGTATTATAACATACACAACCCCTAATCTGGCATTGGTACAGTTAAGCTTTGCCACCTTTTTAAACGGTTTCTGCTTCTATGCCATACGCCCATATTTTCCTGGTATTGACGGAAGTGATATATGGGGGAATTTTCGAAAGACAGCAGTTTGTCCTATATCAGGAGTCAGCAAACTTTTTCAGCAGGGGGCCAGTCCACTGCCCCTCAGACGTTGGGGGGGGGCAGGACTATATTTTGAAGGGGGGGAAATGAACGAATTCCTATGCCCCACAAATAACCCAGAGATGCATTTTAAATAAAAGCACACATTCTACTCCTGTCAAAGCACACTGATTCCTGGACCGTCTGCGGGCTGGATTGAGAAGGAGATTGGGCCAGATCCGGCCCCCGGGCCTTAATTTGCCTACCCATGTCCTAGATCTTAGGCAAGTCAATTGAAAAATCATGGGGTGTTTGGGGTTGTTGTTTTTTTAGGTTTTTGGGGTTTGTCTGAAAAAAGATACTCTGCAACTTGTTTTCCAGGTTTCCCTAAGAAAAACGCCCCTCAAATTTGGGGGTTCCCTAAAATATATATATGGCAACCCTACTTTAACAGCCCCCATCAGCAGCTGATCCTGTGTTGTGAAAAGCTGCAATTTGCTAGTTTGGGCTGCTGTTGCTGCTGCTCTGGAGGGTTTTGCTCTGGCAAAGTGGCAATCCAAGGATCAGTCCAGGAAGAAGTGCACCCTGCCTCTTTTCTGCACCATTGAACAGACAGTCCATTTCCCTTCCCTTAAACCTGACGGTTCGCATTTCTCAAAGCTCTTTTTGCTTTGATCCAACATATGCTGGCCATAAAAACTTGGACTGCATTATCTATCCAAAGAAAGGCAACCTTAAGTGATTAAAGAGGCCACTCTTTAAATGAAGGTCACTCTTTGAGGTAAGGCATAAACCTTCAGCTACAAGGAGCAGGTTGTCTATAACCACAGAGGCTCAGAACCTGTGGATCTGGTAGAGATTAACAATTGATTACTACTTCATTAACCTGTCTTTTTAAAAACAAAAACAAGGCGACGTGAATTGCAAGAGCTTAGATCAATGTATATTGAAATACGCACACACATCTAGTAAATTATGTCACCAAAAGACAGGTCTAACACAAGGTTGTAAAGTTACTTGACAGTGTTTTAAAAGCAGTCACTGAGGTGTGGCATATATCCATTTACAGCCACGAAAAGCAAATTGTTATTCAACCACCAACCAGAGAACCTCCTCTGTTTACTCCTAAGACAGCCTGCCCCAACATGGCAACCTCCAGAGGTTTCGGCCTACAACTCTCAAAAGCCCCACTGGGACTGAACCATGGGTTTGTTGTTGGCTTATGAACCCTGGTTTGCAGTTTTCTGTGAACCCCACCACCCCGTCCTTAACCATGGTTTGTTTGGAGCAGCCCAGATGCGCCCAAATTACAAAGATGGCAAACAAGCCATGGTTTGTCGGACTGTCTGTGGGACAACTCATGGTTTGTTAAGCAAACCACAGAATAGCAGTGGCAGAAGATGTTAGGCAGAGCTGGAGTCCTGCAGAGAAGAGACAGTTGAAATAAATGCACCAAATCAGTATTCAAATGTCTGACGGGCTGTAACACAGAAGAGGGACTTGTTCTCCAATTCTGACTAAGCATCAGGAGAAGCTTCCCAATGGTACAAGCTGTGTGACAGTGGAACAGACAGCCTCAAGGAGGTGGAAGACTAGGTGAACTCAAGGTTACCAGAGCATTGGCCACTGAAGCCAGACTATCCCCATTCAGATTGGGGTGAGAGAGAGAGAGAATTCAGCTAGGTGTGTAGATCATGTGTTTGACTGAGGAACCCAACCATCTTGGCAGCAGTGCCTGGTGCCTATTAGGACTTGCAGGGTAGAAGGCAAGGAGGCCAACAGCAGGTGGCGCCAGAGCCAATGACTAAGACCCAACAAGTTTTTTTGGGGGGGGGAGGCAGGGCCATCTTACCCATAGGCGCTAGGGGTGTGGGGCACCTGGGCACCGGGCTCTCAGGGGCGCCAGGCCAAGAGTCCGGGGCCCGAGAATTGAGTCCAGGGAAGAGCCCGCCCGTTGGTTGGAGCGCCACAACAGGCTCTTCTGCTGCAGGCGGCTCCGTGTCGCGAGTTCGGGGGCGACCGAGCCAGTGAGACACTGAGGCGGCCCGCTGGCTCCGCCCTCCTGCACACCTGGGACAGGGCACCAGGGGGGGGACGGACGCCGGACAGATCTTTGCACCCCGGCACCGCATATGCTTAAGAGAGCCCTGGAGGGAGGCCAAGGTTGGTGGTGCAATGCCCCCTATGATTCAGATAAACAACAATAGGACAGCGATCTTTAACAGACCTCCAAATATAAAAATGGAAGGATATTGATCTTCATCCTTCAGACACCTGTAAAGACAGGTGAAACAACATCACCTTTCCTAGGATTGGGCGGGTGAATACGCAGGGAACCAACTCTGTATTGCCATCCATTTCCAATTTATGTTTTGCCCTACGAGAGCTTGATATATATTTAGCCCATTCAGTTTAAGGCTTGGCATATCATGTTACCAACCGAGACTGCTGAGCTGGTTTTCCACCCCCACCCGCCTCATTTAAATGTAAAGAGAAAACAGATCCCCTTTTGTCTTCTAAATCAGTTCAGCTTGCAATTTTCCCTCTCTCTCTTTTCTCACCCTGCAGACCAAATCACTGGTTGGTTTATATTTTCCTGCCTGCCTGCCTGCCTGCTCAGTTTCCCACTCCCCCACCTCTGCCCTGCCAGTCTGGCATCCCAACTCCAGTATCTGTCTGCAACCATTATCTGATCGGTGGGGGGCCCAGGAGCCAGGAAACTGACCTGCCTACCAGAGGCAGCTGCCCTGCTCTGGTGTCATTGGGAGCACAGATTTGCTTTTATTTTTCTGCTCGCCTGCCTGGGATGCCAGAACCAGGAAAGGAGGTGGCTGCTTCTGCTGTTCTTAGAAAGATGAGTTTGATACCTGGCAAAGCTGGTACATTAAGGACCCACCAACTTCAGCCTGTCCCTGTCTGCCTTGCAACCAGTTCACAGGGCACCTTCTGGACCCCCTTCCTCTTCCTCCTGAATCTCAGTGTTGTCCCTGCAGAACTCAGGATGGAGACAAAACTACAGTGGTACCTCGGGTTAAGTACTTAATTCGTTCCAGAGGTCTGTTCTTAACCTGAAATTGTTCTTAACCTGAAGCACCACTTTAGCTAATGGGGCCTCCTGCTGCCGCTGTGCCACAGCTGCGCGATTTCTATTCTCATCCTGAAGCAAAGTTCTTAACCCGAGGTACTATTTCTGGGTTAGCGGAGTCTGTAACCTGAAGCGTCTGTAACCCGAGGTACCACTGTATAATTTGTTGGGCCTGTGTTTCTGGCTCTGCCTACCACTGAGTTCTGTGTACAGTGGTACCTCGGGTTAAGAACTTAATTCGTTCTGGAGGTCTGTTCTTAACCTGAAATTGTTCTTAATCTGAGGTACCACTTTAGCTAATGGGGCCTCCCACTGCCGCCGCGCGATTTCTGTTCTCCTCCTGAAGCAAAGTTCTTAACCCAAGGTACTATTTCTGGGTTAGCAGAGTCTTACCCAGAGGTTGGTGAAACCGGCCTCCATTGGGAGTGCAGGCCGGGGGTGGGAGCAGAAAAATCACCTATCAATGTCATTGTTAGAAACTCAGATATACAGTGGTACCTCGGCTGTCAAACGTCTCCATTGACGAATGTTTTGGAACTCGAACACCATAAACCCAGAAGTAAATGCTTCCGTTTTCGAAATCACCTCAGAATTCGATCAGCATCCACTGATGTACCACTGTATTTTTCTCAACTTTCTCTGTAAATTTGCAGACCACCCTTTGCGCCTCGGGGTTTTCGAACATTTCAGAAGTCAAACGGTCTTCTGGAACGGATTACGTTCGAAAACCAAGGTACCACTGTATAAGCTAATTGTCAAATGGTACCTTAAACCCAGGTTGCAGTTGCCATGATGGAAGGTCTAGGTGCCCTCCCCCCCCCACCCCAGTGAAATTTATGTAGTAGTAGTATTCATTACATTTCTATACTGCTTTATATTTTAGAGAAAAAAATCTCAGAGCAGTTGACAACACTTTAAAACATCAAATAAAACAATCCAGAATAAAACGAATTCAAGCTTCAAGGAAAATATTTCAGATCCTTCTCTAAGTAACCATTATTACCTTTCTGCAATAGGTTAGTTGACCTCTGGTTTTAATTATTTTACCCAGTTTTTATAGTCCATATGGCATGGATGAATGTTATAAACAACTTTTTCATAACGGATGGCAGTGTACAATATTTTGATCAACAACATAGATGAAAGTTATGGGTCGAACCAAAGGATCATCTAGTCTAGCAACCTTTTCCCACCTGTATAACATCGGAAGATGCCTTGCCAGGAAACTCCTCTTTATCCTCTTTCTTCAAACCTTGCCCTCAAGAAGCTCTGCTGACTCAACATCTTTGATTTCATGCTTAAGAGGATGCCACCTGCATTACTTTCCCCCCTAAAGTCATGAGGACTAGACACTTTGCAACTTGCTTTTCATTCTTTTAACAGGATTACTTTACCATTGATCCAGCGTGCTCCAATGTGCACCCAAAGTCCTGGTGTTTTGGACACACAAACACATCGCCCACTTGTTGAGCCTAGAACGGCAGTCACAAATTTAGTTGGGATGGGAAAAAGGAGACTAATTAAGGCTTGCTAAATGACTTTGGACACTGTCATGCGGAAGGTGTGGGTGAGCTAAATATTATCATTACCATCCTGTTTCCTGTCTGCTTTGGTGACACGGCAGCCAAGGTTACACCTGCCCTTTCCTTTCCACTTACAAAACACAAGAATTATGTTTGGGATAGCTGGCGTGCAGAACGCCTGATCCCAGGAAAAGGCTGTATAATCAGGGTTTATCCTAGGAAGTGCTGTGCATACATTCCCCCCCACCCACCCCAGTAATAAATGATGATATAAAGAACAATAATTATCCATGATATATTATGCATTGGCAACATGCAGGCTCAGAACCTATCATTCTGCTTTGTTGTTTTTTTACAGCAGGTTTCTGGCCTTGGAGGCAGCCTAACAGGTTAAGTCTGCAGAGGTTAATCATATGGTTCCAGTATTCAAGCAAGTCAGCCGATTGGTACAAGCCGTTCCCCTGACTAATCTGAGCATCAGATTCAAAATACATATTTTCATGTATTAAATGCTGGGTCAATGGTAAAGTAATCCTGTCTCCGTTAAAAGAAGAAGAAAAAACAAGTTGCAAAGTGTCTAGTCCTCCTGACTGCCAGGGGGAAAGTAATGTAGGTGGCATCCTCTTGAGCATGTCTATATAGAAACTTAGGATGGATGGGAAGCACAAACTTTTTAAAAGAAAGTATTGTATCTTTACTCTCGCTCAAGAAAATCCCTCTAGGTCCTAGGGCTTCTTTCCTCTCTACAGACCACTTGAAAATCACAGACAGTCCACGTAATGTTTCTGCCTGTTGCAGCAATCGTAAGACACTGTGCTAGATGCTGTACGTTTTTTAAAATTGTATTATTTCTTGCTTCTTACATATTGCATTTCATTGTACAGTATTACGATTCTGAATTTCACAGAATTCAAATTGTAGTACTAGACAAACACAATTTTTTTAAAAAAATAAATATTAATATTGAATGCAGATCCACTGAGGACCAGCTGAATGAAACCTGTGGTCCACTGGTAGTCCGTGGACCAAACTTTGGGAACCCCTGCTCTAAGACCCTGCCTACTTGAAGAAACAGACACACCTAACAAGTTATTCTGCTTGCTTGATAGCTATCCTTCGCCCCCTCCATACATAAATTTTAATTGGTGGATCCATCAATGAAAACTCACATGCCTTATCTGCTACGGTAAGATTTCTTTCTGTCAGGTAATAGCTCTTGTTATCCTGTTTTCCTAAAAGTACCCTAGCCATATACAACAAGCTGTCGGGTCATTTGTGACTGACTTCATGAAAGGGCAAAGGAAAGCCAACTCTCGTCCAATATACAGAAAAGGGGTATTTTTTTCTTTCCACTCGCTTGCACGTAACTGTTCTCACCAGTGGCGACTATAGACAAAGGGGTTTCAAGGTAAGCCACGCACTTTCAAGATTGTCAGAATTCAGAGCAGGATCTGGGGTGGGATAAAGAGACAGTTTTCCACCTTGACTGGCAAAAGAACACATTAGGAAGAACAGTCACATATGCAAATTAAACTAATTTGCTCCTATGATCCACAGAGGCCACATAATTCACCTTATTTGACCCCTGCGCCCCAGCACAGAGCATAGCATAAACACCTCTGAGCATGTACAAAATACTTCCTGCTTGCCACAGAATAATTCAACAGCTTGGGGGGGGTTGGGGGGGGAAGGCAAGAGCTCAAAATCCCAGTCTCTGTGCAGACTTAAATTCTGGAGTCTTTCTGCACCATGAATTCTCCCTCCCCAAAGAAAACACAAGTTGAAGCAGATCACTTTGTCAGGAAAGAGAAAGACAGAGCAAGTCTGTTCAGCGTCAAGTTCAATATAAAATATTCTGGATGCCTTGCTACTTATTATGCAGACTGTCTGCATAATAATGAACTTAAGAGGGCTGATAAATTTAAGTCTTTCAGTTACCTGAACCCCACAATCACCGGACTTTCCAGATACCTGCTCAATCCATTCAAGTCTGTCACAGGCTGTGCATTACTGATATTATGTTACTGATACACAGATACTCAGAAGTAAAGAAGGGGCTTCCAGGAGGAGAGACCAAGATAACAAAAGCTTGCAAAGCACTTGCAACAAGCCAGCCATCAAGCTCACTTAAGCAAATTTAGCAGTCGTAAGCATTTTGTGAAATAAATAAAAATATGAATCCGTCTGCCAGTTGAGATCAGTATCAAAGGCCCTGGTACCCCTACACAAGATCAGACAGGTTGGTGACCAAGGCATGACCTTCTTAGTGTTGGCACCAAGACCACAGAGCTATCTTATCCAGGGAGATCCGCCAAGCCCCTTTTATTTTAGTCTCCAGCCAGCTGCTGAATGAATACCTATCTATTAACATATGCTTGATTTTAGGATTTACCAGCCTGCGGTTCCCTGATTTTAATGCTGGGTGCTCTTTAAAACCACTTAACTTTCACTGCTATTTTACAAGCATTTTGTATCAAGTGTTTATATTTTATGGTTCCTGTTTTACTGCGCATTCCAAGCTTTGCAAGCTGCTGGGTGCGCATTCTCCCCCAAAAAGGAGAACAACTCCATCCTTAGCAATCATTCATGAAATAATCATCAGTGTCTAGAACTCTTCTCTCCAACATGCTAGCTTTCTAAGTGCAGGGATTATTTTTTAATTGACCGGGAGGAGGAAACATTTAATGCTGCCATTCCTTATCTACTATCTGGAATGGATCAGCCCAGGAACTGGATAACACACCCAATCTTTTATTTGTGAGAATAAAGGAATATAGACAGCATCTTAAAAAGCAGAGACATCACCTTGCCAACAAAGGTCTGTATAGTTAAAGCCATGGTTTTCCCAGTAGTGATGTATGGAAGTGAGAGCTGGACCATAAAGAAGGCTGATCACCGAAGAATTGATGCTTTTGAATTCTGGTGCTGGAGGAGACTCTTGAGAGTCCCATGGACTGCACGAAGATCCAACCTCTCCATTCTGAAGGAAATCAGCCCTGAGTGCTCACTGGAAGGACAGATCCTGAAGCTGAGGCTCCAAGACTTTGGCCACCTCATGAGAAGAGAAGACTCCCTGGAAAAGACCCTGATGTTGGGAAAGATGGAGGGCACAAGGAGAAGGGGACGACGGAGGACGAGATGGTTGGACAGTGTTCTCGAAGCTACCAGCATGAGTTTGACCAAACTGCGGGAGGCAGTGGAAGACAGGAGGGCCTGGCGCGCTCTGGTCCAGGGGGTCACGAAGAGTCGGACACGACTAAACGACTAAACAACAAGAAAAGGGAATATCAACTCTGATCCATAACTTTCCTGCAGGGGGTTGAACTAGATGACCATTGCGGGTCCCTGCAGTTATATGATTCCACTTACCAGCTATTAGCAACTCCCAAATCACAGCAATGGTTGTGAGGGGGAGGGTAGGAGACCCGCAGTACTACTGAATGAGAGAACAAAAAAAAGGGTGCTTGTGTGGAAGAGACGAAATTACTTTTCGATGCACTGTTAGTGGGACAGACTGCGTTACACGTAAACCACACTGTAACCTCATTAGCCCATATAGCTCACTAAGCCTCTGCAGCAGAGATCCCGATTAAAATCAAGTGATCACAGTGATCAGGGCCTGGTGGTTCCCTCCCTCTCCCGGCCACCCCACCCCCGTGGCTGCAGCACAACCAAGTTTTTATCTCTGCGCTCACTGCAGAATCACTGTCGTATATCATTCATTGAGTCGCAGCTGGCATAGATGCCGTTGACCTGTGGAACTCCCTGATCCTAGATGTGCCAGGAGGAAGGGTGGTTGTGGTGGTTTGGGGAAGAACCGTAACACTAACACCACGTGGGGCAGGGGGAAACGTTTGTCACGAGCAGATCATACTTTGAAAGTGATTTAATGGAGTGTGAAATCACCGCCATAAAAGTCGAATTAAGTCAAATTATACTGATCAGGGACGCGGGTGGCGCTGTCCACAGAGCCTAGGACTTGCCAATCATAAGGTCGGCGGTTCGAATCCCCACAACGGGGTGAGCTCCCATTGCTCGGTCCCTGCTCCTGCCAACCTAGCAATTTGAAAGCACATCAAAGTGCAAGTAGATAAATAGGTACCGCTCCAGCGGGAAGGTAAACGGCGTTTCCGTGCACTGCTCTGGTTCGCCAGAAGCGGCTTAGTCATGCTGGCCACATGACCCAGAAGCTGTACGCCGGCTCCCTCGGCCAATAAAGCGAGATGAGCGCCGCAACCCCAGAGTCAGAGTCAGGGGTCCCTTTACCTTTACCAAAAAGTTCCCCTCCCACCAGGAAATGGAGACCCTCCAGCGGTGGGGGGCGGGGAGACGCTGACCAACCCCAATGCAAACTTTTCTGAGCTTTTTATAGAAAGAGTTAAGAGAAATAAGATCATAGCGCGGAATAAGATCCCACCAGACGTTAACTTTCTAAAATGGAAAACTTCTGGCGTGGGGGGATGTCAAGTGAGACTCAAAACCCCACAGTCAACCCCAGCCCCAAATATATGGGGCTAGGATGAAGTGACAAAACACTTTGCATGTGCTCTTGTTACTCTTCTACAAGGCCGAGGGAACCAGCGTTTGTCCGCTTCCGCAGACAGTTTTTCCGGGTCATGTGGCCAGCATGACTAAGCCACTTCTGGCGAACCAGAGCAGCGCACGGAAACGCCGTTTACCTTCCTGCCGGAGCGGTACCTATTTATCTACTTGCACTTGATGTGCTTTCGAACTGCTAGGTTGGCAGGAGAAGGGACCGAGCAACAGGAGCTCACCCCGTTGTGGGGATTCGAACCACTGACCTTCTGATCGGCAAGCCCTAGGCTCTGTGGTTTAGCCAGTACGCTGGCTCAAAGCAAGACGCCCTGCTGCCGGGTCTTGGGTGCAAAACATGACAAGATTGCAGGGTCAACCTCCCACCAGCTGCCATCCGTTTTCTGCTGCTGACGCCACCCACCCTGGGCCAGGATCCTCATCAGCCTGATGAGCTAATTAATTAAATGGGTTGCCAGGGACGGCGAGCAAAGTAATCTGGAGCCAAGAGAGACGCAGAATCTGCAGGTAGGAAGACTGCTGCCTCAGCCTCAACGCAAGAGGAACCCAGCCCCTAGCCAGCCATCTCCAGTGCTGCCCTGGGGTTGTTAGACAAGTTCATTCCACACATACACACACACACACACACCTCCACCTTGACAGAGACTCAGGAGCACAGTGATTCGCACACATGACACCTGGATAAGGAACAGGAAAGATACTTTCAGCCAGGGGTGGGCCATCGTTTTCAGCCAGAGGGCCACAATCTAATATTCTGGGGGCCACATTCTACATTGCCATTCAGGCAAGAAAGACAACATCTGGTGTGTAATAAGTGTGTCAGACTAGGACCTAGGAGAACCAGGGTTCAAATTCCAGCTTCAGATATGAAGAAGACATTGAGCTAGTCCAAATCTACCTCAAAGGGTTGTCGTGAGGACCAAATCTGGTGGGGGGGGGAGAACCATGTAAGCCACCTTGAGCTAACTGTAGGGAAGGTGAGATATAAATGCAATAAGCACAGAGCTGCCTTGAGTCCCATGAAACAAAAGGTGGAGCATAACTAAATATTACACGTCAGGGACAGACTCCAGACCGCCTGAGACACTCGTAAGGGGCGTGAAGCAAATGGTAGTGAGGGCTGTGGGGCTGGCGAGGGTGCCAAAAACCAGAAAGAGAGGCCTGGGAGATTCTCCAAGCGTGGCTTTTGTTCTTTTAAGAAAGTAAGAATGGCGGCGTCAGGTCAGGATTTTAAATCTACCTAGCCCAGCAATCTGCTTCCAACGGAGGACAGCTCAAGGCTACCCGAGAGATCACATGCAGGGTATGGAAAAAAATGTCATCCCTGCCTGCAAGTCCAGACTGCAAGCCAGGAAGCTCACCCCCCCCCAAGAGCACATGTCAGGCCCCCAATGCACTAGGGGGACTGAGGCAAAGCACATATTTCCCGCAAGCCCAGACCACTCACCCCACAATCTTCAGAACAGTGACCACGGGCCTACCAGTACGTTTCCGAGCACAATTCAAAGTGTTGGTACTGACCTTTAAAGCCCTAAATGTCCTCGGTCCTGAAGGAGCGTCTCCACCTCCATCGTTCTGCCCGGACACTGAGGTCCAGCTCCGAGGGCCTTCTGGCAGTTCCCTCGCTACGAGAAGCCAAGTTACAGGGAACCAGGCAGAGGGCCTTCTCGGTAGTGGCACCCACCCTGTGGAACGCCCTCCCACCAGATGTTAAAGAGAAAAATAACTACCAAACTTTTAGAAGACATCTGAAGGCAGCCCTGTTTAGGGAAGCTTTTAATGTTTAATAGTTTATTGTATTTTAGTGTTCTGCTGGAAGCCGCACAGAGTGGCTGGGGAAACCCAGCCAGATGGGCGGGGTAGAAATAATAAATTATTATTATTATTACTACTACTACCGAAGATTAGCAAGGAGGAGGTGGCAGTATCTTGAAATGGCAGGTCTTGAACATTAAGGAGATGTTCCCTCACCTCACTTCTTGCAATGATAATTTTGGGGGTTTTGGGGGGGGTTTGCACACGGGATCATTTAAATCAGAGGCCAGTAGATGCCAGCCCACAGGCCAGATGTGGCACACAGACTCCCCCCTCTTCACCCCTAGGCTCTAACCAGTCTTGGGAAAAACCTTCCAGTGAAACAAACAGGAACTTGTTCCCAAGCCTAACTTCAGGAGGCAGGGGGCTGTTCTAGGGGGTGGGGTGGGGGTGTTGCAGTTAGAAAGAGGTAACTCTACCCTCTATGTATTGTGACACCTGCGTGTATCTCTGGGCACATCTATTTGAAGGACACTGCTTCCCCCAGAGGATCCTGGGAAATTTAGATCCCTCATTATGGGTCTATAATTCCCAGCATCTTCAGTTCCCGGGATTATTGGGGGGGGGAGCCACATGCATTAAATGCAGAGTGTGGAGGACCCCTAACATGACTCTGTGTGTCTAGGGCCACGATACCTGAAAAGCACTTTCTTTCCCCTCAAAGAATTCTGGGTACCCCTTGACAAACTACATTGCCCAGAATTCTTTGAGGGGAGAGAGAAATGTGCTTTGAATGTGCTTCAAAGGTACAGTGTGTGTCTGTGTGTGGCCTTATCCACTTCCAAATTCGGCCCTGCCCATCAACTGGAACAACTACAACAACAACAAATTATATATTCTTCCACCCTTCATCACAAGATCTCAGGTTCACAAGATACAGTGGTACCTCAGGTTACATACGCTTCAGGTTACAGACTCTGCTAACCCAGAAAGTGCTTCAGGTTAAGAACTTTGCTTCAGGATGAGAACAGAAATCGTGCTCCGGCGGTGCGGCGGCAGCAGGAGGCCCCATTAGCTAAAGTGGTGCTTCAGGTTAAGAACAGTTTCAGGTTACCTCCGGAACGAATTAAGTACTTAACCCGAGGTACCACTGTAGAAGCTTCCCCACTCCCTATTTAAAAACCAAATCCCCCACCAAGTCTGAAGTGGTACAGTCCATATGAGGGGCAGCCAATGCAGTGACCTCAAGAAATTGCTGGACTACAACTCCCATCATCCCTGACCATTGGCCGAGCCAGCTGGGACTGATGAGAGTTGTAGTCCAACAAGGGTCTGCAGGGCTTCTCATTAGCTACTCCTCTTCCAGATGCCACCACTTCATCCTGCTGCTTCTGTAAGCCCAAACTTGATGTAAAACGTTCTATAATAGTAACCTAGTATTTACGCTCCAAACCCCAAGAGCCCCAGATCCTTGATGTGCAGTTTGATTACCACATTGAGATTCTAAAAAAAAGAAAAAGATGTTTTTTTAAACAGAGCAAGCTGTTACGTTAAAAAAGAAATAGCTTTAAACAAGCGGTTCTCAACCTGTGGGTCCTCAGATGTTGTTGGACTACAACTCCCATCATCCCTGAGCTCTGGCCTTGCTAGCTAGGGGTGATGGGAGTTGTAGTTCAACAACATCTGGGGACCAACAGGTTGAGAAAGGCTGCTTTAAACAGAAGCTATGGTAGCACACTTTAAAAGGTAAAGGTAAAGGGACCCCTGACCATTAGGTCCAGTTGTGACCGAGTCTAGGGGAGCGGCGCTCATCACGCTTTATTGGCTGAGGGAGCCGCCGTACAGCTTCTGGGTCATGTGGCCAGCATGACTAAGCCGCTTCTGGCGAACCAGAGCAGCGCACGGAAACGCCGTTTACCTTCCTGCCGGAGTGGTACCTATTTATCTACTTGCACTTTGACGTGCTTTCGAACTGCTAGGTTGGCAGAAGCAGGGACCGAGTAACGGGAGCTCACCCCGTCACGGGGATTTGAACTGCCGACCTTCTGATCAGCAAGCCCTAGGCTCTGTGGTTTAACCCACAGCGCCACCCGCGTCCCTGGTAGCACACTTAGGCTTGTTCAAAACTCACAACCACCCTTCAAGGTAGGCTAGGCTGAGATGCAGCAACTTGCCCAACACAATTTGAACCTGGGCCCCTGGTCAAATCCACCCCCATCAGGGTGCTATTTTTATCCTAGCAGAGTTTCCACTAACCAAGCCTCCTTCTGTGGTTGCACTGTATGTATGAAAGTGCATGATCAAGCAACCATCCTCTTTGTCACTGCAGCAAGGCCTGTTTCCGACGGCAAATCAGAGGAGTTTGTTGGCTGTTTTATTTCACCGCCTGAGGATTTCCCCCTTCTGTCTGTATCTCAGAAACCACTGCCTTCAAGACATGCACTCAGAGACAGAACATTTGCTGTCTCCCTCGGCCCCCACGGGGGAGATAAAGCCAGCGACTCCATCTGCATGTTTTAAAAAATAAAATAAAATCCCTAGGGCTTCAGCAGGCTCTTAATTTCATCTGCCCTGCTGGAAGCAGAGTCTGAAATGAGGGCGGGGGCACATGACTGTGGTGATTCTGTGCCAAAGGGGATTTATTTGCAGTACAGGGCAAAGAGAAGCAAACTTTTATGGGAATAACATTTTTTAAAAAAGATTAAAAATTGTGAACTTTTAAGTGAGTTTATTGTCCTCATGGAAAGGGATACTTGGAAGCAGATCGGTAGGCGGAGTCTCAGGAGCTAGCGATGGCAGAGTAGAGTTTCTAAGGGGAGGGGGAACCCACTGCCTCCCCCCATGATGGACAGAAGGAAAAGCATGCAAAAAAACAAACACTGCAAAATGAATGATGAAAAGAAAAAGTTGTATGGTGTACAGACATTGAAAAACCCAGCTTCTTTTGGCATAGGGTTCTGATTTCCCCCCATCTCACCTTTGCCCCCTACTTTTGGCATACATTTGAATCCGAAAGAACAGCATTTGTCTTTATAAGAGCAGGATCTCTTCATACCCAGCTCTGATAAAAATGGGGTCCTCTCTCCTCCTGCCCCTTGGACTGGAAGACTGTGGTCAAGGCATGGAAGGGGCCATAACTCTGTGGAAGAACATCTGCCCTGCATGCAGAAGGTCCCAGGTTCATTCCTTTGCTTCGCCAGGCAAGCCTGGGTGGGAGAGACTCCTTGCCACCCACTGTTGACAATACTGAAATGGATCAGAGACCTGACTCAGTACAAAGCAACTTCCTATGTTCCTATTTGAATCGGTTCTGAATTCAAAGCCATGAGGGCTAGGATCTTGGCTTTTATTTTTAATTTTTAGGGAAAGAGCTGGGGCTCAGTGGATGAGCATCTGATCTAGATGGAGCAAAGGGCTGATCTGATATATAAGGCAGCTTCCTATATCCTTATCTCCTCTGCAGGGTGAAATTGGGGGGGGGGGTTTCCCCCTCTTGTTTTAAGGACAAGATGCACAAGAGGAAAGGCACCATTCTGTTAAAACATGGGAACATCCCCCTTTCCTTGCACAGCAGACGGAATTTTGTACTTAAAAATAGCACCTCCCTCTTTCGCGTAGCACCCTTAAGCCCTTTGCAGCACCAGACCAGAGAGCAACAGCAGCAGCAACGTTGGTAAATAAATAGAAACAGAATCACGTGGGGGTGCGGATGGGGAGAGGAAGAAGAGAGGAGGACAGAAGTTAGCAGCTTAACTTCTGCAGGGTGTGAACAACAGGGGTCAGCAAACTTTTTCAGCAGGGGGCCGGTCCATTGTTCCTCAGACCTTGTGGGGGGCCGGACTATATTTGGGGGGGGGATGATGAACGAATTCCTATGCCCCACAAATAACCCAGAGATGCATTTTAAATAAAAGCACACATTCTACTCATGTAAATACATGCTGATTCCCAGACAGTCTGCAGGCCGGATTTAGAAGGCGATTGGGCCAGATCCGGCCCCCAGGCCTTAGTTTGCCTACCCATGAACTACACTGTGAGGGAGGGTGCTAAATACCCCACCCCACAGCTTCCATCTAAATCCCTGGGTAGACTTTCTTGAATTGCAGAAAGTCTTGAAGGCTTGATTGCTTTTCTTGGCCTTACATGGAGGAAAATCTCATCCTGAGCTATTAAGTCCCATGTGATCCAAGTAGATCCACACACACACACACACACACACACACACAGAGAGAGAGAGAGAGAGAGAGAGAGAGAGAGAGAAGATGCAAGGTGGGGGTGGATACAACTTACTGCTACTTCAATCCCAGCCTTGCAAAGTTCACAAACAATGTTTCTGTTCCACAAAATCCATTTAGTGGCCTGTTTTGCCCCCACAGGTCAAAGTTATCCATCTGCAGTACAGTGGTACCTCGGGTTACATACGCTTCAGGTTACATACGCTTCAGGTTACAGACTCCACTAACCCAGAAATAGTGCTTCAGGTTAAGAACTTTACCTTAGGATGAGAACAGAAATCGTGCGGGAGGGCCCATTAGCTAAAGTGGTACCTCAGGTTAAGAACAGTTTCAGGTTAAGAACGGACCTCCGGAACAAATTAAGTACTTAACCCGAGGTACCACTGTACATCAGTCCCTGGGCGGCAGGGGGAAAAGTACTGACTCCTGCCCCAACCATGTTCCTAGCTTGGTTACCTTGAGCTAACGTTCACTCGCCACAGGTGAGTGGGCTATTTGCAATACAGTCACAGTCTCACTTTTATTATTTAATGCATGCTAGGGTTACAATGCTGGTCAAGCTTGAAAAGAGGCTTTCCCTGAAATGTAGTGCCTTTGTGTCTGTGCAGAGTGCCCTGCCAAGTAAATAAGTCTTCAGTCAGTTCCTGCCCCCACACATTAGGACACACGTCTTGCAAAAGGCACCTCTGTCCTTCCGGAAACCAAACACACAGAAACCAGGTGCCAATCCACCACCAAGAAACTTTGATCCAAACACAGAGATCTGTTCCAGGCTTTTGGATCTGGGAAACAGCCGAGAGTTCTAGCCAAACTGGCCACGCCACACACTGGCTCCCCTGCTCAGTCTTCCACATGTGTAAAATGGGCATAAGAGCAACCTGATACTTGATGGGTCTGTGGCAAAAGGAGAAAGGAAGCAAGGGCTGAAATGTTGCAAGATGTTGCAGAGATGGAAACGTACTTAAAACACTGTTGCGGCTTAACGCTGCGATGGATTATTCCACCCTAAACACATTCCCTAGACAGTTTTGTAATCGTGGAAATTATAATGGGGAAATAGGTACCCAGACATAATTGTGAACAGCTCACCCCACAAGCTACAGAGAGAGAGAGAAAGAAAGAGAGACTTTCTCAAAAGCAGCCTCACTCAAGGTCCTCAGGACTCTGGTATACTGTGAAAAGGGGCACCCAATTGCACCCTCTCCAAATCCTTTTTGAATTGCACAGTACCATTGATAAATCAAGCCCTGGGGATTGACGCAAACCGGAATCAAAACAGAGAAAGGCAGCCCTCTACCCTGGCTCCGCATTGATTCCACGTTGACCTGTGGAAAAGCTTCAACAGCAGCAAATAAACCATTTCAAAACCTGGAAAAAATGAAGGGGGGGAGCTGCTAGATCTAGGCTTCCTTCAGTAAAAATGCTGTACCTCTAAACACAGGGTTGCAGTCAACTACCTTTTACTCAGAGTAGACCTATTTAAATTAATGGGGCCGTTTATACCCTTCACCCTAAAGGTCTTTACACCAATCGAAGCACAACGCTAAAATCAGTTTGCAGCAACTTATTATCACGTAAATAAGTTGGGTCTCAAACACATGCGCCTCAAGCGGAAGAGGTTCAGCCGCGGACCATTGTAGTCAGTGGACCTACTCTGAGCATATCCAGTACTGGCTGCAACACGCAGTTACTAGGAATGGCATCCAGCGAAGTTCTACTCGAGAGTAGACCCATTGGAATTAATGGGTCTGCAAGAGCCACGCTCGTTTTATTTCAATGGGTCCATCCCAGTACGCCTGAGGCAGGGCACAACCCAAGGGAGTGCAAGCCCCACCGGCGTCCAGGGGGGCTTACTTCCGAGTAGACTTGCCTGCCATTGCATTGTGCCCACAGAATGGAGGTTATTTTCCCCCCAACCCAGCTTCCCAATTCAAAAAGTGGGCAGGAGAGGAAATAAATGAAAACAATCAGAAATGGCCAGGAATCCAGGGAACCCTAGAGATGCTCTTTTTGGGGGGGAGAGCCGGGACAGAGAAAGAGAGAGAGAGGAGGAGGAGGAGGAGAGCGGCAGGAGATTAAAAGCGTAATAACGCCGGGTATTAAGTAGTGACCCCTGGCGAGGCTGGAACACAGCTCCAGACAGGGCCGTCACGTCTCCTGCGGTTCGCTCGGCGCGCGCCATCCCCGGCTTCCCAGGCGATTTGGCCTCTGGGCGCCGATCCAGCCCCCGATCTCCCTCCTGGACTGAGTGGCGGAGTGGGGGCGGGGGGAGGACGGCGGCGGCGGGAAAGAGTCGGATCTGGCCAGAAGGATCGCCCTCCCCACCCGCTTTCCCAAAATAATCCCGGGATCCCGGAGTTGTTCTTCATTACGCACGGCGGCGGTTGTTTTCCTTCTGCGCCCCGCAGCGTGCGTAACGAAGAACTCCGGGATCCCTAGATTTCCAAGTGCTTGGCGCGCCTCCACTCCCAGATCAACCCGCTTTCTGGAGGTTGGATCCCCGCAACATATTTTTTAAAAAACACATTTTATTAAAAAAGCAGCAGCACACAGATCGATCAGGACCAATTCTGCACTCACCCGCACCTGCCCGGCGCTGGAGCCTCTCCAGCCTCCCGCAACGCAAGCGGCGCGCAGAAGGAGCAGGGCCCCCCTGGAGAGATCCAGCCTCCTCCAGCTCTGCAGCTCCCTCCCCTTTCCCCGAAGGCGCCCCTGATTTCCAACCCCCGCCGGCGAACCCCCCTCCCCTTTATAAAGGGCAGGAGAGGGCCCGCCCCCTGCTCCTCTGATGGCCACCCCAGCCAGCCAATAGGCGCGCCCTGGCACCTAGCAACACCCAGCCGGTTGGCTGCCGGCGGCCGCAGCCCCCTTTTTTCCGAGGGGCCAATGGGAAGCGGCGGCGGGTTGGATTCCCGGGGCTGTCCCCCCCCCAGCTCGGAGGAAGAGGGAGCTGAGAGGCGCAGACAACAGCTGGGCGGCCAGGCAGCCAATGGCAAGCGCGGAGGCCCCGCCAGCATGGGAGGTGGGAGGGAAGATAACAAACCGAACGCAGCGCGCCTTAAAGGGGCCGCGAGGTGCAGCATCCCGAGCCAAGGCGGAGGAGCGGGGAATGGGCTTCCTCGAGAGCAAGCCCCGTTCATCTCTATGGGGCTTGCTCCCAGGTAACGGCTTGGAATCGTGCGAGGCGCGGGTGTCCCAAGTTGCCGATCTGCAGTCCTATGGCTATTGTTGTTTAGTCGTGTCCGACTCTTCGTGACCCCATGGACCAGAGCACGCCAGGTACTCCGGTCTTCCACTGCCACCCGCAGTTTGGTCAAACTCATGCTGGTAGCTTCGAGAACACTGTCCAACCATCTCGTCCTCTGTCGTCCCCTTCTCCTTGTGCCCTCCATCTTTCCCAGCATCAGGGTCTTTTCCAGGGAGTCTTCTCTTCTCATGAGGTGGCCAAAGTCTTGGAGCCTCAGCTTCAGGATCTGCCCTTCCAGTGAGCACTCAGGGCTAATTTCCTTCAGAATGGAGAGGTTTGCTCTTCTTGCAGTCCATGGGACTCTCAAGAGTCTCCTCCAGCACCAGAATTCAAAAGCATCCATTCTTTGGCAATCAGCCTTCTTTATGGTCCAGCTCTCACTTCCATACATCACTACTGGGAAGACCATAGCTTTAACTATAGGGACCTTTGTTGGCAAGGTGATGTCTATTACTCAGAAGTAAATTGCATTGGATTAAATGGTGCTTATTTCCATCACCACCACCCCAGTTAATTGGGTTTAGGATTGTAGGCTTGGCCAGAAGATAAGAATCAGGAGAATTCCGCTTGCCGGTTGTTTACTGCAAAACAAGAACAACAAACCCCAAAGAGTCTTGTGGCACGTTGAAGGAGCACACATTTGTTATTCCGGGCCAAGGTGTGCTGAACTAGAGTCTACTTCATCCCCATATATGGCGGTGATTCTCAGTTACAGGGGTGTATACACACACTCACACTCACATGTTCATAGCAGTAGAAGGAGAGATGTATGCATTGGGGTCAGAGGAAAACAGAAATGCCAGAAACGCAGGTAGTGACCATTCAGATTAGAGCTACAATGCAGGCAGGATAAGCACAGAGACTCTTTAGGAAAGCAGTTGATAGGCTATGAAACAAACCGACTTGGTAGTGCTGAGTGAATTTACAACTGCAAACCATTGTCTCTATTAAGTCCCAAATGAATTGCATTGGATGTCTCCAGTATTTGCAATGTAGCAGCTTCACTCGTGAGCCTTCCTTTTAAATTCCATCCTTGGCAATTCTAACATCAGTGGGGAATGCCCTGACACCTTGAAATGTGCTCCTACTCCTTTCTGAATGCTGCCATTTCTGAGGTCAGATTTGTGTTCTTTTATTCTTTTGCTTAGGACAGCTTTCCCAAACCTTCCATATGTTGTGGCTTACAGCCTCCATCATTCTTGACCATTGGCCATGCTGACTGGGGCTGATGCAGGTTATGACCAGTTGTTGGGAATCCCAGGTGGGCAGAGTGCCTAGTTCAGTCCCTGGCACCTCCAGGTAGGACTGGGAATGCCCCCTGCCTGAAACACTGCAGAGCTGCTGCCAGTCAGTGTAGACAATACTGAGTTCTGTGGACCAGTTGTTTGACTCAGGAGAAGGCAGTTTCCTATATTTCTGGGCTCCCTGTTCTCTTTCACACACAGCAATAACATCACCTCCAGGGGAGAGGGGAGGAAGAAAAACAGGCCCTCTCTAGCTCACCTTCCAGAAGGGTCTCCAGCTATTAGCTCCTATGGCAACAAATCACTTGTGCCCAGCAACTCTTTAGTTATGCAAAGGTTCAAACAAAAGAGAATGTCCCAGACTATCTGTGTGCCAAACTATCTGTTTGACGTGAGACACTAGCTTGACCATAAAATAATAAAGTAAAACTATCCTCTTCTGCAGACTCAAACCTTACACAGCTGTAAAAACCACAGGATTGGAAGAGACCCCCAGCCCAACCCCAATCCTAGAACAATTTGAATTGCATCATTTAAATTTACTTGTTAAGGGTGTGGGAGTCATAATTGCACTTGGCTTAACCAAAGGAGGAATGACAGCCAAGACAAGCGCAGAGGGAATAAGCCTGCATCAGCACAACCGGACGCCTTCCTCTGCCCCAACTGCAACAAAACATGTCTCTCCCGCATCTGTTTCTACAGCCACAGCAGGCACTGTAACTCTCCAACAGTTTGACTTCGCCTCCCAAGGTGCACTCCTCCACTGTCTCCCAAGACAGAAGGATGCCAACACAACAACATTTGGAGGTTCCATGATCAATGGCTACAGTCGTATCTTGGAAGTCAAATGGAATCCGTTCTGGAAGTCCATTCCTACTTCCAAAATGTTTGGAAACCAAGGCGTGGCTTCTGATTGGCTGCAGGAATCTCCTGCAGCCAATCGGAAGCTGCACCGGACGTTCGGGTTCCAAAGAACATTCGCAAACTGGAACACTCACTTCTGGGTTTGCAACGTTCGGAAGCCAAAACGCTCGACTCCCAAGGCATTTGGCTTCCAAGGTACAACTGTACTAGCCATGATGACTATGCCCTGCCTCCACAGTTGGCAGAAGCCATAATGCTTCTGAATACCAGTTGCTGCAAAATGTAGGGCAGGCAGTAGGGAGAGTGCTCTTGGGCTGCAGTCCCTCTTGAGGTTTCCCTGCAAGCGTCTGGTTGGCTACTGTAAAATCAGGATGCTCAATTAGCTGGGCCTTTGGCCTGATAGAGGAAGCTTTTCTTACATGCTGTGCAACTCAAAAGGAGCCATCCAGCCCAGCCTATGACACTAGCATCCAGAATCTGAATAATTATACTCCCCTCTCACTGGCCTTGGGTGTAGGGCGTGCGATTCCTTGCGGATCACCTCCGAACCCAAAACAGCAACAGCAAGACGCAAAACAGGTGTCACGAGAGAAGTTTATAAAATTATGCATGGCATGAAGAGAGTGGGCAGTTTTTCTCCTTCGCTCATAACACTAGAAGACTGAGTGTTGGGAAACTCAGGACAAATAAAAGGAAGTCCTGGCTCTGCCAATAAGGGGTTCTAGCGCCACCTGGTGTTGGGCTCCTTGCTTTCCGTCCTACCAGACCCTATAGGCATCACAGCTACGCACCAAGTGCAAGGCTTCACGCCTAAACAGGACTCTAGTCCACAAAGGCAATGCCATAAATAAGTCTGTTGGACTGAAGAATGGATAAGTAAGATAATGTGACTATGCAGAACTGGAAAAATTAACAGCAAAACTAAGAGGATCTAAGAGGCAAGGGTTTTATGGAAGAATGGATGCCTTTTTTGGACTATTTAAAGAAATACTATAGTAGGATGAACTCAAGAGCAGGATTTGAGCTATGAGCAACAAATTAGATTAGATTATAAAATTGTGGTTATGATTTAATTGTTAGAAGATAGGGTGAAGCAGAAGAGGAGAAACAACAACTCTATGGAAAACGGGGTGGGAAGTCGACAAAGATAAGAGAAAATATGAAATTGTGTTTGTGTACGTTGAAAATTAAGAAAACATAATGGAAAAAAATGAAATGCAATGAATCTGTTGGAGTTTGCAGGGCCCGCAAGACTTTTCTCTTTCTTACTGTGTTGGAGGCTAACCAAACTCCTGCTGTTTCAAGTCTGCTGTTTCCAACTCCTGCTAGACAGATACTTTTAACATTTCATTTTTATGCTGTTTTAAAAATTTATAGCCCTTTATCTTTGTCAAAACTAAACCAAAACAAAACCTTGAGACTGACGGGTGTTTAGCATGCAATAACGGCAAGGCAGTAAACACAGCAGAAGAGAAATGATTGAGCACATCACACACAGCATTTGTCTAACTAGCACCTTCCGGATGTTAGGTAAAGGGTAAAGGGACCCCTGACCATTAGGTCTAGTCGTGACTGACTCTGGGGTTGGGGCGCTCATCTCGCTTTATTAGCCGAGGGAGCTGGTGTACAGCTTCCGGGTCGTGTGGCCAGCATGACTAAGCCACTTCTGGCGAACCAGAGCAGCGCACGGAAACGCTGTTTACCTTCCCGCCAGAGTGGTACCTATTTATCTACTTGCACTGGCGTGCTTTCAAACTGCTAGGTGGACAGGAGCTAGGACCGAACAACGGGAGCTCACCCCGTCGTGGGGATTCGAACCGCCGACCTTCTGATCGGCAAGCCCTAGGCTCTGTGGTTTAACCCACAGTGCCACCCACGTCCCCTTCCAGATGTTATTGGACTCCAACTCCCATCAGCCCTGATCACCATGGCTAGTGGTTAGGGATGATGGGAGTTGGAGTCCGGTGACATCTGGAGGGCCGATGGTTCACCAACCCTGGTCTACACCGCCTGGCAGAAGTTCTTGCAGGATTTCAGGCAGGGGCTTCTCCCAGCCCTACCTGGAAGTGCCTGTGATTGAACCCGGAACCAGCTTCAGGCAGTCAATGGCCCCCCCGTTTTAAAACAGCTCTGATCATGGTTTGTGCAGCAAATAAATGAAGGGATCGCATTGCACACATGACCTACGGACAGCTCCCTTTGTGCCCAAGATTATTTGGGTGCCAGAAGAAGCAGGATCATCTAGGCAAGGTTTCCATGCAGAGAAAGACAATGAGGAAGAGAGAGGGGCCTGGCTCTTGTTTTATATACAGCCCTCCTCAGTCGAACGCTCTGGAAACATGGGGGGGGGGCCTGGAGGCAGGCAGGGGAGGCTTTGAAAGGGAGCAGAATGCAATGGAAGATGTGATTCCCTTCAGAGAGGGGGGGACGACTGGTTTTAAACTGCTTTATCTTATCATTGATCTTAACTATTTTTTAAAATTTCAAGTAGCTGCTTTTTATTGATAACTATTGTTTTATTCCTTTTAGAAATGGCATACAGGGTTTTTGTGCAATCAGACAGTATATTAATTTTATGAAATAAATAAAACACACAAGCTTGATTGATTGATTGATTGATTGCATTGCATTTATATCCCACCTTTTTCCCAAGGAGCTGAGAGTGACATGAACATGGTTCTTCTTCCCCTCCTCATTTAACCCCCTGCAACAACCCTGTGATGTAGGT